AAGTACAAAAATGCCTTATTTTCACATTTTTTCTCCAATTTCTAAATAAATCATTTTTTCCTTCAATTTCTAAAATTTTCAATCTCCCAATTTCTTTCTACTTATTAGTGAGAAAATCATTTCCCATATTTGTGAACTTCGTCTAAAACTCTGAAATCAGCACAAACACGGAAACTATCATCACCACTAACTCCACACACCTTTCATTATAATATATATATACTAAAGACCAATTTAAGCATACCAGGCCCTGGATATTGCTGCGCATTATGGTCCTTGTTGTCTTTTCGACGTTTTTTCAGCCGTTCTGCAAATGCAACTACCTCACTAGCATTCTTGCCCGTTTCCAAACATTCCAATCCTAGCAAATATTTTTGGTAATGCCGCCTCAACTGGTAGCCAGCTGCAGACGACTCGGACATCTCCGAATTTGCTTCTGTACAAACCTGTTTCCATGTCTTATCACGTGTTACCTATAATAATAACCAAAATTCAACTTGAATGCAGAAAATCCAGCAAGACTTTTCAGAATGTTAAGAAAGTTACTAGTAAGTCATATAGAACCATTAAGCCAAGAATTTACAAATGACATATTCAAAGATGACACATAGTCAGTACCTGTTCAAAACCACCACGTTTCATTACAGCTAAATAAAGACGATGCAAATCAACCGTTTGTTTTGAAACCTGTGGAACCTGCGTGATTGGTTCGCCCTGAACATAGAAAAAATTAACGGGTAATAATTTCCCGAAAACAGTGAAAGAGAAATAATTTAGCACAGTGTTTACGGTTAAATAACGCTCTGTGAGATTAGACTGAATAACGACAGTCTTCTGTTGCAATTTTCTTATCAAGCAGATAAATTTGTACTTGTTGTTCACAGAATTGGACTAATTTCTCGAAGAAAGCTCTCCTTTCAGGCATTATATGTTGCGGGTTCATTGCAGTTACAGGCCCCACCTAAAATATTAAGATATTCTCAGAAAATAAAAAGAAAATTATGTCTTCAAAATTCTGAAGTAGTTTTTCAACATTCCATTCTGTAGATTGATTTTTCGACCTCGTACAGTATTAAGTTCTAGTAATCCAAATTTTGAGAGTAAAAATCATTTTTTACACTCAATATCCAAGAAAACAAACTTACTAATCTATCAATAATCGACGTTGAATCTTGCCGCTTATTCACTGTGGGTGTATTTGGTCGGTTTGCAGGCACCGGGGTTCTCTGCAACGAAAAAGTGTAGTCTTTCAGCAAAGCTTGTTCAAGTTAAATCTTTCAAGATCCCAAAACAAACGCTTACATGTCCTTGGCTCATCTGTGACGGTGTATGAGGCCATGGATTCGGCGAAGCACCAGGTAAAGATTTAGAATCCTCTAAAGATTCATCCGCGGCTGAAGACGCGCCACCTGGACTAGGTGCTGGCATTCCAGAAGACGGGGTCAATGCCTGCTGTCCAGAAACAGTCTGCTGTACTGCTTCCTATAATGCAAAAAATACAGAATAATCCATATTTAATGGTCCAGTTTTGTATTATCTATTATGTAATAATTGAAGGGTTTACTATAATCTTAAGTTATCACAGACAGACAGTTTCTGGAATGAAAAAGATTGCAATTATCACGGCATGAGACCTTGATTTTGTACTGGATATGAATAAACATAGCAAATCCAATGACATTTCTGTTATGATGAGCAAACTTTCGTTAACCATTTACCGGAAGAGATTTTGAAATATTCATTCTGGACTGCCAATCAGATGGTACCGGCCCATTTGGCATGCGTGGAATTTCCATTTGTGATGACTGCTGCATTTTAGCTGAATTTGCTGGTATCATTTGACGTGCTCCCTGTGGCATGCCATATCCAGTAAAGGCTGGAAAATATTTTGCAACATAACTTGTAATATTTCAATCATTAATTGCTAAAGGCAAGAGATATCACATAGAACTACGAACCTAAATTACCTGATGGTGGCATGGGACCTTGATTTTGTACTGGATAATAATGGCCTGGATGAACATTTCCTGGTTGCATGTAGCGCATTTGCTGTGGCGGCCAATAAGATGGGTACACAGCAGGCGAATATGCTGTAAGAAGAGCAAAGTTTTAATTTTCTTATATCTTGAATTTAGAAAAAATGAAGTGTTATACATATATAACTTCTTTTAAAAAAATTTAAAATAAAAGAACTAACCGGAAGGTGGCACCTGACCCATACTCTGTTGATTAGGCACCTGTTGCTGCATTTGTTGAGGCCCTGAGACAAAAAGTTTGTATATAAATATCATAGAAAGCAAGGTTTCTGCTTACAAATGGCAAGAGTAGCGAATAGTTTTTCTGGCTTATCAATGTTTGATTCGTTTGATTTCAAATGATCAAACATTTTCTACAGAGGTCGCCTAATCCCATTATATGTTCATTAACTTGCTTTGAAAATTTTCATTAATTTGCTTCAAAAAACTGTCCACTAAAATTAATGAAGTAAAGATAGCTTAAGCAAAATCAAGCAGCTACCCAGTGTTGAACTAGATGATGGTACTTCCATTCGGATAGAGCCGGGTAATGCAGTACCAACTGGCGAATTCTGCATATGCAGTGGTATTTGTGGTGGTGGTCCGCTTTGACCAGCAGCCGGTGAAAACACAACATCACGCGAATCCGGTCTTCCGGTCTTCCCCTTCACATTTCCCTTTTGAAGAGCGACCGAACCTGGACTACTATAGCTACCGTTCGCAAGTGATGACGGTTGCTGAAAAAAACTTTGGAATTGTTTCTTCACTTCTTCAGTTGTCCGAAACAGGCCTAACCCAAACACAAAAAATGAATTTTATACGAGATCTTTGATTATGACTGCATAATCGTATTCAAATAAATAAGACAAAGATGGACTAAGCAATGTTCCAAAGTGGTCCTCTCTAACTTGTCGGTTACGTTTTTTAAATCATTGCAATTCACTGAGGACATTAATGGGGAGTCGATTTCTAATAAGATAAAAAAAAAAATAAGATAAAAAAAGCAAAAGTTAAAACAAAGGGGAAAACTTTAACTCAAATTCAGAAATAGACCTCAAATCCACTCCGTAATTATGCAAGTCTTCTGGCTCACCAATAATAAATTCGTAAGCAGGAAAAAGTATAAATCTATAATCAGTATAAAAAAGAGAAAAAAAAGAAGAGGAAAAAAAACAAACACATCCTCCACTCTGCCCATCTCTTCAATAACTGTTCTTTATTGAAATGAATGTTTGATAGCGACGTCACTAGGTTTTGCATTTCGGCAATACCTAAGCCACTAGTCTTACGGGTGTGCAATTATTTATGAACATATACTTTCTTCGCACCCCTTCCTTATGGCTTCTTATCCATCTTCCCCACCCTGCAACCATTTGATGATCGTCATATCATACATACAAATTATTCCCATCTCCCTAAGAACATCAACGACCCAAAACCATCCCCTATCCCCACACCGCATCATATACACTTTATATGACCACGTGTTTCCGACTTCAAACCTTCTCTCTTTTTTTTTTTTTTTTTTCTTAAACAACTAAACAAAAGTGCATGGGGAATTCCCCAACAAGCAATAAATTCCTCGTTTTCAAAATGAAGCCGCAGCTAGAAAACTATTCTACATCATGCTATTTCATTTCGTGTACACAACTTTACAATGTTCCATAGCTTACATCTACTACTACTTCTACTTCCTTTGATATTTTCAATGCATTGGTTACGGCCTATTTCGAATTTCTTTAGAAGGAATATGTATGCAACAAGAGGAATCAAGGCATGTTGAAATAAAAATTCAAAGTAGTATCAAACACTACCGTTTTTTTCTCCACTTCACCGCATTCTATTAACAAAAATCATTCATTTCATCACGACATTCAAAATGTAATCTTTTCAAATGTAACTCTATGCTTGACCTTCACTATATATTGACTGCATTTTTTTGATTACACAATAAAAATTGCCATTATTCCAATTATTCATGTTCATCACGAAAATGTAAGTAGAGAGCTATCTAATTCTATTAACTCTTACATAATGCAAAACATACTAAACATCAACATCAAGAGAGGTATTTATTTGAATAATAATGAAATATCGAGGGATTTTTTTGAAATTATTAGAAAGGAGAAGCTGAAACTCACGAGCTCTAACTCCATGATTTTGTCGATTCAATTAATATATGAATATAGTATTCATATATTAGCGATAATGTTCATATTATGTTCGTAACAAATAGATATTATTCAAACCTTGAATTTTACTAATAACTGTCCCGTTTTCTCTTTTAAGGCAAAGACAACAAAATAACACTTTAAAGATCATTAATAATAATAATAATAAATGAAATTGATAAGCTATCACTACTGCTATTAGTCCTTTACAGTTACCCTCTCTCTCCCTCTCCTAACACGCCCCCATGAAGCACACGACATTACGATAAATTCCTCACTAAATCTCAATGCTTTACCATGTGTACTTGTCATTAAATGGTATCATTTTCACAACTTCAAAAAAGATTCTGTTTGTTTGAGGAAGACTGTATGACACACAATCCTAAAACAACAACTGAAAGAAGAATCGTAACTAATAGTATCCCCTTTGTATAGTTTACTTTGTTTATTGTCATCTTTAGAATTGTTGTCCAGTCAGTCATGTTTCATATATTCTGATAAGTTTATAACCGGTACTATGAGAAATGTTGGTAAGTGAATGCACATTTGCGCTTCCTTTGGCGCTTGTGTATATTATAACGTCTTGGTCATTACTCGATAAATGATCAGTGTGTGTATGTAAGTATGGATTTTATATCAGTATTATCATTTATCTGTACTGTTGTGGATGTATATTTTTAATGATTTTAAGATAGCATTTTATTGGAAGGGACAGTAAAGAAAAGCAGCATAACACTGTCGTGATGTCCCAATAAAGAGCCAAGTGTGCTACACTGCTGTCAGTGGCGTGCGGTTCATTTCAATGACAGACCAACCTCACGCAGAATTTATTCGACTCGGTCCCCTCCATATCGCGTCCCTCGCTCATTTCATGTATGTCTCGGTGGAATGGTGTGAGTAGTGTGGTATGTCGATACTGGATGTGTATATATGTGTGTGTGTGTGTGTGTTGCAGAAAGGCATGTACACAACGACGACGACCAACGATGAGGAGGAGATGGTGGTGGTTGGATGGAGCAGCGATAGAAGGGCCATATTCACGATGGATGGCCCCCCAAGGGATGGGTGCCTGCGGAACTAGTGGATTGCTGTTGCTGTTGCTGTTACTGCTGCTGCTACTGCTGTTGCTACTACTACTACTAGTGCTGCTGTTGGTTGACTACAGAACGATAATCGGGGAATCGAAGGGAATGTACCGAGGAGCCATTTATCTCGCAAAAAGAAGTTGACTATGAACGAAATTCTCTCTGCACTGCTGCTCCTGCACCGCACAGAACGACTCGCTGAAATGCCACCGAACTAACGAATATATACACACTCACCCAGCAGTATCATGAGATACACCACAGAGGGAAGGGAAGGGAAGGGAGCACGCAGATATAACATATCGTCGTCCTTTCAGAAATAACGAGTTTGAAGTGAAGTGAAACAGAGAAATGGCAATGGCCTGGCCTCGATCACTTCTCCTCTCATTGAATGACAATGGTGACGGTATCCTGAACTTCATCCCTTCTTTCCCTCTCTTCCCCTCTCCCTTCATCTTCACACAGCTATCTATCTATGCACAGCCACAGTAGTATTGTTCGAATCTTTTCTCTAAATAAGAAATTTAACATTAAACTTCCCCCTCTCCCCAAGCTACACATCAACAATGTATGTATGAGTGACAGAAAAACGAAAGCAGTTCTTAGTAAAAAAAGTTGCCGCTGGGAAAATGAAAAATTCGAAAGGCTATACAGCTAACAAAGGAAAAGATGTACTTTTACTTATAAACAAGTGAAGAGAATGAGGAGAAAATATGATTTTGGGAGGACGAAAATCAGGCTTGTCTTCCTCTGCTAAGAGATTGAAATGCTTAGGACTGAGCTGCTTCTCCCTCTTCCTCACTTCCCTACTACCGTAATCCGTCAATTTCAGAAAATTCAGTTCCCAGCTGCGACTGACGTATGAAACATCAATCAAGAATAGAAGAAAGGAGGAAAGCAATTAAGGCTAATTTTTGTCCTTTACAAGAGAAACTTTTGGTTAGTGATCAAGAAGGCAAAGCAGTGAACCATCATCATATCCGTTGAAAATCCCTGTTCCTCTTCCTATTATTTTCTTCGATTTTACAAAAATTCAAATTCGTAACACCACTACTTCTCCTTCTCCTGTTAATTTTCTTTGATCTGCTTAGCAATTTATAGCGCACATAATTAGAATACTCAGCATCTAATATACGTTTTACTCTTTATATCTCACAAAAACACTTGCACCATGTCAAATCTAGTGTGTTTATCGGACAAGTCCGCCCAGTTCCACTACTCCATTGCGAGTACAAAATTACGCACAATTCACTTACGCATACCTTAGTGACATATTACTGCTAATTCTATTAAATGCCTAAAAATACATAAATGCCTTAGTGATGATATAAAATGGAACAATTTCAAAGTGAAATATTTCAACAGTTTTGAATTCAGTAACAACAAAGTATCTACTACACTTAATCTAACAATACAACAATAATTTAATCCTCCTCCTATTTTGCCTTTACTATTTTATCAGCTGTTATTCTGTTGTCTTTCTATTAGAAATCATTGTAGGCAATATTTCTTTTCCTACTACAGAATATTTGCAGCTCAAATATCATGAATACTCTACCACAAAAAAGCGAAGCGCATAAATGCTAAACCACTTAGACTATGCACGAGTGCACAAGAACATATTAGAAAAGAGCAATAAAAAGGAATTACAGGAGGATTCGAGATATAATGAAGAGCACTGCATATGATGTAATCGAACTCGTCTCCGCATATATCGGACAGAGCGGAAACGACCGATGTGTATTGCAATTTGTTTTCAAGGTGATATCTCTTTTATTTTCACACGGCTACCGAAATTCCCACCACTCTCAGTACACATGTGAACTGCACAGCAATCTCCATCCATTTTGTGATACTAACATAAATCAAAACAAAATTTTGCTTAATATGCACAGTCAAAGAAACAGGGAAGATAATTTGCTACCAACTTACTGTTAATACACATATTTCATTACACACTAAAAATCGGTACATAATGAATGGGGAAAATAGAGAAAACTAATCATAAGAAAGCTCTCTAGAAGCAAAAAAGGAATCACGAAAGAAAACTTCAAAGAATAAAGACTCATGAAACACAAACTCAGTTACTGCTATATTTCCAATAAGTACTCAAGATTTAAGCAAGAAAACTATTAGTGATGAAAAAGCATCAGACATCAACGATGATGATGGCAGTGCACAAAAAGTAACTCATATACTGGCCCTAATAATAGCAATATAATGCGAGTTCATTCTTTTAATTCAATCAAATCCATTAACCATGAATGAACTAATCATAATGTTAATATGCGTGTGTGTGTGTGTATATATATGTAGATGAATATAAAGGATAATTGAAGTTATAACATATGATATCGAGTATCTCCATTAATCATTTCATTCATCCAAAAGATATGAGTTCTTCCCATTTTAACAAGCAAATTAGAAAAACAATTGCACGTCATCAGGCAATCAACCCACAGGCTTACAATGCAAAAAAGATCAAAAGTCATCCGCAAAATCAAATTACAGGAAGTTTAACATTTCCTATCATAAAATATTCAAAATTTTTACTTAAAAAAATCTACTGGAATTTTCCAATTACTTCATTCTGCTCGATGTTAAACTGAAAAGGATTGTTAAAAACGTTACTAAAGCTCGTCAGATGTTATTACATACGCGTGCTCGCCGCGTTAAGCACTTCCTACAAGTACTTTTACTATTGCACATGCACGAAGTAGATCGGCATTTTCTTCAGTAAAACAATTTTTGCCAAGATTACCCGTAGTCACTAATATTTGGATAAAATGTTTCTAACACTTAGAAATATTTTGTAATGAGAAATTAGAAATATTTTGTAATTACGTTAGGTGTCCATTCTAAATAATAAACTATCACAATACTAAACTCTTTTTTTGTTAATATAGATGAATCTATTTTTAACGCAGTAGCATATCCATTCATTCTTTCATTCCCAAATTGCATTAAGTATGACGAGTATGAAGGAAAATGGCGATAAATTAAAAAGTTGTAGATATTACTTGCAACAACTATAAAATTTTTTTTTTTTTTTTAACTGACATCAAAGCAAAAACTCATCTCTCCTTCGACCATCTATATAAGTATATCAGGATTAGTTAAACAGTCCAGTACAAGTTTTTTCTAACAGGTTAAAATACACAGAAACGAATAAATCGAGAATCAGCTCTCCGAACCACTACTTTTTCGCCATATGAATTCCAAAAATATTGTTTTAATAGTACAAGTCCGAAATAGAATTTCGATCTACCTCTCACATCGTGTAAATAAACATATAAATAAATGAAATGGATAAAAAATACATGTAAACAAACGAATAAATAAATAAAAAGAAAACATATATGCACGCATGTTATGCAAACTCATTGTTTATAAGCTGTAAAAACTATTCTTCACAGTATTGAAAATTTCAGACTTTTTACGCTTTCCATAAAGTGAAGCATAAACATTGAAGAAATAGTTTAAAACTATTAAAAACAAACCGAAGATGAAAAGTTAGGTTGCGGTGGAACCAGCATATGTTGAATATGTGGTGGTATTTGCATTTGCTGCTGCACATTCTGAGGCTGTGGGCCTTGCGGTATCATATTGTACACGGGTGTCCCAGGCGTAACAGCACCTTCTGTTCCTGAAGCTGTACAAATATTTAAAGTAGCTTTTATCGTGGTTTATGAAGATTTTAATCCATAATTTGCTAACATAAATGAATAAATTTCCAAACTTCATCTCTTTCAATTTCTAAATTGAGATCAATCTATCACCCTTAAACCTTACGGAGTAAATTGTTCAGTGTTGGTGTGGCCGTTTGATGTTGTTGTTGTTGCTGCTGAAAAGCAATTCAGAATAATTCCAGCAAGAAATCAACAATTAGGAAATATCTGAAGCCGAATTTCAAAGTGAAAGTAGTCAAGCATACTCCAGATTCTTATTCTTTCCTTGTTACCAGTATCAATCTCAAAATGCGAAAACTCCAAAAAATTTTTTAGGGGCAAATAGCCAATACTATCATTTAAGCTGTTTTTCCATTTCTTAGACTTTTCACTTCCAACATTTCACCTAATACCAAATTCCGATATTAAACCTGCACAAGCGCTTTGTATTTCTCTTCAAAAATACTCTTTCATTTTTCAAACAAAATTTCTTCTTTCTTATACTCTATGTTCAAAGCTCACTACCATTAATGCAAAAACTCTTTTCGTTCACATAACACTCGACTGAAATTTAAATTCCATCCATTCAAGAACTGATCGAGAACACTTTACCTGAGGTGACATTTCACTGCTTGATTTGGGTGTTTCAGCAGCACAAGGACCTTGAGATGTCGCATTTGTAGCCATTTCTGTAACAGTGGAGATTTTGATTTATGTTCTCAATATAGAAGTTGCAAAAGTTAAGTATACAGAGAAACCTAAATCCTTCAACATAAAAGCGAAATTTTAAGCTACGCAGTCCAAATCAACAACCTAATACGGAGGTGCACTAAAACAGTCTACTGATAGACAGTTAATCTATTTTAATAGAATGCTAAATGCTATAACACATTACAGCATAAACGTCGATTTTAAATTACTACAGAGGCTCAGGATTATATAAATAATTCAAAAAATGAATAAAATTTTACCCTTTAGTTAGAAAAATTGTAACATTCGTCGGACAGTTTCATCCACTTGTATAGTTGAACCCGGTTTACAACGAATAACCGTTTTGAATACCAGTGTTGTTACGTTTAAGAAATCAACCAGTTGTAATGAAATGATGGTGATAGAGTAATAGTTGTATCATATTAGTAATGAAACAGTATTAATAATGTCGATGCTGCGTAACCTTTTTTGCAAGTCTAATTCGCAGCGCCTAAAATCTGATGAGTTGTGAATCTTTAGTATTAATACATACTGTATATGTACATTTACGGAAATTATATCGATGGAGTGGACAAAAAAACTGAAAGAAGGGCAGATACCTGGCTTAGAAGAAACCAACCTCAACCAAAACAATTGCACAATTTTAAGGATTTCCTCTCTGTATAGCCTAAATGTTATCAAAAATCATCAGAACAACATCACTAATTCTCCTCTTCAATATCTTCTGCCTTTTCCATTTCTCTCTGAAAAGTCTGCCAGTTTCTGAGTTAACCAACTGGATAAGATACCACTTATTTTCAATTGGGCGGCAAGAAAAAAGCAACAACATATCACAGGAGTAAATAATTCCATTCAATTGCAATTCTTCACAGAATCTCAAAAATAAAAAAAAAAAATCTGTAATTTCTTTTGCAGCTAGGACTGACACTGACTTGTAGCAATTAGTCATTCCCGGGTTGATATTCAAACAAGAAAAATACACATTCCCACCCTTCCACATGACGTCAAATCATGATGCTGCATGCTTGTTTTTTCTATCCATAATTTCGCATTAGTTTTTTTAGCTTCCACAGAAAAAGTAGTATTGGTGAAAGAACAATCGAAGTGCTAACACACATGTATGTATATATACCACATATAAAACGTGTATAAATTTCATTTTTTTAACTCACAATTCTCGATGTGAGTAATATCAAAAAGGAAGAATGCCAATGCTAGTGAGAACTTGTAATTTATAAGAATTTGTTTAATGTCCTGAAAATGTGCCAACAGAATTACGTAAAACGAAAGAAATACTAATTGAAATTGAAAGAGTATAACAAGCATTAAATAAATGACAGAAACATCTCGCCACGGATATAAATATAATATAATTGGAGATATCCAAGCATAAAATTATTGAATTATCTTTCCTACCAAATAACACATTTATTCAGAAATCAATGTTACCATCTAGGTTTAATCTATTAGAATGAAGAGAAATTCTAACAATTACAGATAAAACAAAGAAACATACAGGGAATGGAGATATGTTAAAAAGACTTATATATTCGAAGCATTACTTATACATCATTACAAATTCCCCCCATTCGCAATACGAATTAATGTGGTCATTTTTCAACTGAAATGTTTCTATTAACACATCGATTGGTGAGCCTAAGTTTGAGCAGACTATGAAAGCACATACTCAAATAACCATAGACTATTAAACCCTACCTGTCTCGAAGTTCATTAATTACGATTTCCTACCTTTTGCAAAGGTAGGTGCTGAAAGAATCTTACACCTTTCCTTTTTAACAAGATATATGAATTTATATATACTATTTTCAGTGATCTTCTCCAAGGAATTTTCTTTCCTAATAAAATAAGCACTCTAAAAAGTATGCAAAATCTAGTTCGAATGCCCAGATCATTTAATAACCATACCATATATCGAAAATCAGCCATGTATATATATATATATATATATATATCGTCAACACATATTTCTATCGCGCAAAAAGAAATTAACCTCATCAATTATCGCTTTCTACCTAATTATAACAAATATGCTTTCTAATTTAGAACACTCTCAAATGTTTAACGTTCCCAAACGATGCTTTCATCTCTGATCCCTATCAGTTAATCATCATTCACTTATAATGCTTGCAAAATTAACTTAAGTTTCACACACACACATACACAAAAAAAAAAGAAAAATTAATTAAAATACCTGCTAGAGCATGGATGCACTTAAATACAACATGCAAATGAAAAACTAACTCCAAAAGCACTGCCAAGAGTACATAATGACATGAAAATCCGTTCATCATTTAATCACACTACCAACCACTGCCACATTATGACACATTATATCTAACCCACTTTCACTGTACCACAGCGATCATCAAAACAATTGCTTTTACACTTCATACAAAAGGTGATGAATTGGTCAGCAAAGTTCACTCATTTCACTGTCCACATTATATGATATGTAAGATATGGAAAAGATTTACGTTTATTTTCGTCTCTTCTTGGAATAGGCTAATACTGAATGAACAAATAGTTGAATTATTTTTGATTTTCTTATTCTTAGCTTTTCTTGAAACAAAGGAGCATATTAACCAAATAGGTTAATGTCACTGATTGGAATTCATAAATAAACATAAGGAAAGAAAAAAAAAATACATCACAAAATTTAATCATCCTGTGATGTAACCATGAAGTCATAAACGCCAGATGTTTTATCATCTTTTCGCTTCGCAAATTTTGTTAAGTTTTAATATAAGATAATGGTTTCACACAGGGGGACTCATATTTCGCTATCATCAAACGATATCAGTGGGAAAAAGAAAGCTGCATGCCATATGAAATGAATAACTCTAATTAACTATATGAAATGAACAATCGTCACTTACACTTTGCCTATTATATATAGAAATAGTTCAGGTGACATTTGTGACGTCTAAAGAATAGAATACATATGTACGTTTTCTTCATTACCTTACTTGAAAACGTTAATTTTAAAGGCAAAGAAGGCTAAACGTAGAGAAACAATAAGTTTTTGATGATATGTGCATAAGCTATTGGTTAATTTAATAGAAATTTCTATCAAGATTAATAAAGTCCCTTAGCAGCAAGTGGAAAGAACAAGGATTGCCTCCTATAAGTGACGCAGATGTTTTCTATAAATGGTGAAGGTGTGCTACACTGGTCAAAGTTGTTACGGCACAAAAAAGAAATTGTGCTAAACAGATGATCCTGTACGTATCCAAGTAATAAAATTTATAAAAATTGTAGACAAAAAGGAATCACAAAAGAAATACATCAACGAATATCGCGTCATGTTGTCTCATCTCAGGTCAACACTACATTTGCAGTAATAATATGATCTGATTGATACATCTTTTTAAGTTGTAAGCTTATCACTATTTTATAATAGAAAAATTCATACATTCTTCCCTTCATTGCAAACTCATTTACAGCTCAAAATATTAGTGATAATTCCAAAGAGAGAGAGAGAGAGGATTAAAACAATATTAACTAAGGTAATGTAGTGGGATACCAATAATGATATCGCCATATGGACAGAGAATAGCAATGCTGCAGTGATAAATGATAGTCCTAAGGTGATAATTGTACGATGCACAAATAATAATAAAATAATAAAAAAAGGGAATAGCCAACAAACAACAGACAGTAACAAACGATTACAATTACAAAAGAAAAGAAACGATGAATTTTCGCGGAAAAAAAGTTTTGCTTTTGGGGACAGTGAACAACAGTTTTAAGAACGACAAATGTCATCATGGATGGTTGGGTCTTGAGAGGAAAAGCCTCAACAATAGCAGTAGCAGTAGCAGTAGTGGCAGTAGTAGTAGTAGTAGAGGTCTTCTTCATCTGAAAAATTCAAATATTCATTGGCGCGACCATTATAATAGGCCGTTTTCCTGCTCAACCCTTCCTGTAAAAATCTTCAACACAAGCAAAATTATCCATCCATTCTATCCTCTCTCTCTCTCCCTCTCTCTCTTTCTATCTTCTTCACAATTACACTATCTTTTCTCATATCTCTTTCAGGATTTCCCGAAAGAAAAAAAAAGCAAAATAATTACCAATCCAGAAAACAGTTCACAATTCAATAAATAGATGAGGTATGTGAACAGGTTGATAACTCCAAGGAAACCAAACCTTCCCCAACACATAGATATATACCCAAGTCTCCCTCTCTCTCTCTCTCCCTCTCTCCCTCCCTCTCTCTCTCTCAATACTCGATGCCATCCCTCCTTGTCCCCCCCGCCCCGTCGTCCATTCGTTATACTGCTCTCCTCGACATATTGCAGCACAACATCAGCACAGCACTAGGTAGCAGTGGAAAAAGGAGAGCGCCATTACAGCCCAGCCCATCTCTTACCCCCTCCCTTCCCCTGTCTGTCTATCCATCTATCTCTTTGTCTATCTATCTGTCTGTCTCTCATCCAATCCTATAATACCATCAATATATGCTACATATAAGACAGACAGACGAACAGACAAGTGTACATTACATTCATTCATTCTTGGCCATAGCCAAATGATATTACAAAAATTGATTTGAGCCAAGAATTCCAGGCTAATTTCTTGGATGCATTTCAGGTTTACTTCGAAATGCTATATGAATGAGACAAAAATTATTGCTGAATGTTCGAATACAACGGACCGCATACAGCCCGTTGTATCTGCATCCCTCCACCTCTCGTCTCCTCTCCCTCTCTCTCTCCCTCTCCTTCTCTCACTCCCTCCCACAAACACACACACACTCACCCCAACACGTTCCTCCAAACGAACCATTATCAGCAGCTCCCCCATCGCCTGTCACCACCACCACCCAACCAACCAACCAAACGGGCAATATTCACTTGCAGGCAACTCATTCATATTATGCGTGCGGTGCGGAGCAGTTCAGCGTTGCGACTAGTTCTGAGAAGTCAACCACATATTGCATGATGAGCAATTGCTCAGGCACTATTTCTCATCTGTTTGGCACTATTTCTTATGGGTGTAGACTCATCCGAGGTAAGCACCCCACCCATCCGATATGGGCTGTCCTATTTTCTTCATCATCACAGCAGAATGAACAAGTGGAGCGAGAGAGAGAGAGAGAGAGGGAAGTGACTCTCGCTCTCTGACTCTCTGTATTTCTTCTCTTCTCTTCAAATAAACACCAGGCACAGTACAATACAAAAAGCTAATCTAAACTCTCTCTCTCTCCCTCTCTATTTTTCTCTTTCCTCTCTCTTTTTTTCTTGTATTTTAGTTGTGGGTACTTTTTCTTATCTTGAAAACATCAACTTTTTCTTCGGAAAGGTGAAAGGTCACCAGGTGACACATCGCTTACCACGGGAACCCGATTGTCTCTCAGTAATTATTACGTGTCGTCTAGTAATGTTAATCCGTGCTTTCAAAATATTATTAGATTATTTTTATCCAATGATTTATTAAAAATACGTCAACTAACGTTAGCACGTGAACTACGTGAAACGATTGTCACCGTATTGTTTCTTCCATTATCTCTTTCAGACTATCTATCATTGAATGTGACGTATTTTCAACAAAAATATCGAGTGGAAAGAAGAAACGTATGAAGGCCTTTTGATCGAAAAAATTACTTTAAAAAAAAAAAACCAAAAAAAAGAAAGGAAGTATAAAGATAGGGAAAAAAAAAAAAAAAAACGAGAGACAAACAGATTCCGTCATTCACGGGTATGATATAATTGAGAGCAAAGATCGTCTTCATTCAACGTCATCCCAAATTTTTAATTTATTTTTTATTTTGTTCTTTTTTTTTTTCTTTTTGGATGTCGAGGTGCTCGCTCTATTTCGCTGGAAAACACCCCATCCACTTCGGCCAACCCTATCATGCAATATTGTTTTGCTTGCATTCCTCAGAACACTTTTGAATCATAATTGTTTCTTATTTTATAATGCTGATTGTGTTTTTAATAAGCAATCAATTCATACAAATATTCGGAATTTTTAAAGTTCATTCATTTTTTTTCTTTTGTGAAACTATCTTTACATATATTATTGAATGTTTTGCAACCTTTACCTCACAAATGTTTCTTTCTCTATGTTACAACGAATAAAAAATAATTCACAGGATTAATAGAAAATCAAAAGGCAAACTGAGTGCACAACTGATAGAGCTTACACAACGACCATTAGTCTGAAAAACATACGATAAGTTAATACAAGGATAGAATAGCACCCAACTACGTAATCATTGTAATACTCCACTAAATTCACACAATCATTACCCTACGATTGCTTATCGTAAATCCACTTCGATTATTCCGCCACAAATTATAGGAATGAGGCACAAAAGGTCAAGAAAATATGTGAAAAAACAAGCTTCCTTGCGTATTTTCCAAAATATTTTGGAAGCATTCCAAGATATTTGACGTATGAAAGTCTCACACTTTTTTAAAATGTTTACATAACGTGCTGATTAATGAAATTGAATAACATCCAACAGATGTCCCAATGTATCATGAACAGACTCATGCATAAGCAGTTACTTGTTTAGCGCCATTTTTCTTCATTTAGCATAAAAAATAAGTAGGATCGCGAAATTCGCAAATATTCCTCATTTTTTACCTATTAGTAAATCAAGGGTCCTCTATGATTAATACAGGAAAAATAGTTACAGTGCGGAACGGCATTTATTACTTTATAAAACAAGACCAAAACCATAACAAACTTTAAATGAATTCATCCTTTCCATAACAACAACTAGCAACGTCGTTTACTGTGTAGACATCATAAATAAGACTCAGCCTACTTTCAGATTTTACAACAATCATTTCTATTTATTGATAAATTAGGAATGCTTGATAGTAACTTCTACATCAACACCAGGTTCGATCGAAATGCTTGTAATTTGTTTCAACACATCACTCGGACTATGCATGTTGATCAAACGTTTATGGATCCGCATCTTAAATAAAAAACAAGTTGAAATTATATGAAATAGTTAACATTCTTAAAATAATTTAAGACTAATTCCTTCTTCCCTCTAGCAAAAGTTTTACAAGAGGGAAAAGATGAATTAGGGTCGAAACCCCACTATTTACTTTCAATGAAAAACCTTGAATAAACAAACCTGGAACCGATCCCAAGTTTTTGAGCCTTCACCACACGGTGTTTTACGTGTTGTGATACGAAGTACTTTCGTGGGCATGCGAATTGGTCCTTTCATGAAAAGATTCTTTTCTTTTGCTCCATTGATAAGCTGCTCACAAACTACAATATTTTAATACATAGAAAATTCTTCTCTGCAAGTATACTACTACTCTCTCTTTGTCATTCTATTCCCACTACTTCTGCTCGACAACACAGTATCCTACTCGACCAAAAAATTCAGCCAAAAATTTTTTTATGAAAGCTCAATCCAAACTGACTGCCACTGAAAAACTTCCCCCTTTTTATTACATTAAATGTCATTTCAGTTTATATCATTATCTTTTTGAATAAAACTTTTCAGTGTTTTATTTTCAGGTCTTAAACAGAGTGCTTTACAGTATAGAAATAGGATCTAGCACTTCAAATTACATTGTTTCAAAAGAGCAAAAAAAAAATGTTATGCCTTTCTCCAACGACCGCACGTTTTGAGAAGTGAGAGTAATACGAATGCGATACTCGGTGTTGTCAAGAGTAATAGGTTTCTCCGTTTTATACGGTACGCCAGCCTGGAAGAAAAAACAACCATTATAAAAATTTAACGTATAACATCTTACGATAATGCCAAAGCAAACTGAGACAAAAACTTTAATCTAACCATGTTTACAAATGATTCAGTTTCACTGTTCAGCAATATGCCACGATTATTCACTACCTTTTTCGAACTTTTTTATGTTCAATATCCAGAGCTGGAAGATGTGTTATAATTACGCACAAAACGGCGAATGCAATGCATTCTTTACGCACTATAATATTCATAATACTTTTAGATACCAAAAACGTATCGCAAAATTAAATGCGAAAGAGTAAAAAAAAAATGCACAATTCAAACTGAAATATAACATTTAAAGTGCATTTAACACTTTTAAGAAGTCTGAATAAAAGTACATCCAATTTGTGACAAACATATAAAGCTTAAATTATTGCCTACTAAAATGTGAGCCTATGATGAGTATGTAGCAACTCATCTACCCAACCAGATTTTATAATAGAACAGGAAACAACCTTTCAATTCACATCTTTAGCCCTTTTGATTTAAAATAAAAATGATACCTGCTTACATCCCAAACGTACACATTCACAACAGTACAATGCCACACCCATAATGACAGGAGTGTGCACAACCTAAGTAGTGCCTTTTAGAGTGTGCACAACCTAAGTAGTGCCTTTTAGATTGTGCACAACCTAAGTAGTGCCTTTTAGAGTGTGCACAACCTAAGTAGCACCTTTTAGAGTGTGCAAAACCTAAGTAGTGCCTTTTAGAGTGTGCACAACCTAAGTAGTGACTTTTAGAGTGTGCACAACCTAAGCAGCACCTTTTAGAGTGTGCACAACCTAAGTAGTGCCTTTTAGAGTGTGCACAACCTAAGTAGTGCCTTTTAGATTGTGCACAACCTAAGTAGTGCCTTTTAGTGTGCACAACCTAAGTAGTGCCTTTTAGAGTGTGCACAACCTAAGTAGTGCCTTTTAGATTGTGCACAACCTAAGTAGTGCCTTTTAGAGTGTGCACAACCTAAGTAGTGCCTTTTAGAGTGTGCACAACCTAAGTAGTGCCTTTTAGAGTGTGCACAACCTAAGTAGTGCCTTTTAGAGTGTGCACAACCTAAGTAGTGCCTTTTAGAGTGTGCACAACCTAAGTAGTGCCTTTTAGAGTGTGCACAACCTAAGCAGCACCTTTTAGAGTGTGCACAATTTGAGGAGTACCTTACAAAGCAGTTAAATTTAACCCAAGTAAGTCATCCCAACTGCCATACATCAAAAAACAATGACCCTAATGTCCTCCGTGCAAATCATATATTGAACACCGTAGTTGACAATGGGAACAGGGTAGAGTGGAAGAATAAAGTCGCTAGATTGCAGCACAAAATCACATAATTTATCATTTTGAGATGCTTACTTTCCTTCCCAATGATTTGATCTGTTGCAATTTGCAATTTTGCATTTACGACAAATCAGATCATTGTATAAGAGCAAAACAAACCTCAATTCTAGGTACAGATACTCTTAAGAGAGCTATAATGAGAGACTATTAATGAAACAATGCAGTGTTCCATCAGAAATTTTGTCTAAGCAACATTCTGGAAGTTAATTAAATTAAATTTGTCCATGTTTTTTACGTGAAACATACATTTTAATAGTTGATGTCATTGAACTTTCAATTTCTACTAATTAGTAATAATCTTCAAGGCATTTTAACATTTTAACATTCTATTCCTTTGAGTAACTTCGTATGATTCATTTTTAGTATTATTTCACTTATTTTCATGTTCTAAAATGAGTAACGGATTGAAATTTTTTCAGTTCAAATGAATTGCGAAAGGAAAGATGGGATTGAAGAAGTGGGAAAACCAATAATTGACGTTGATGATTCCCTAAGACAAGATAGGTCAGAAAAGTATGATGAATGTCCAATTTGTTATCAAGAATTTGCATACAAAACTGAATTACCTGACTGTAGACATACGTTTTGTTTCTTATGTATTAAAGGTTGGTCCTTGTTCTTTTCTTTGCAAGATTCGGAATAACTGCTGTACATTTGATAAAGAGTCATGTAGGTACAACAATTTTATAAGAAAAACTTTTAAATCTACATAGTGTGATGAAATTACTGACTTTCTAATGTCCAGTAAATTCGAGGAGTGGCCCTGAGACACGGAGCATGTCCACTTTGTCGAAAATGCATTCCTTGCGATATGTTTCGTGACCCAGTACTTACAACACTTACTGATCAGGTCTGTTTTTTTCTTAATTTGCGAATTCCCAAATAAATTAATTCCAACAATTGCTGGAGTTTTGCGATTGCTTTGGTCATTTTAGCCGACAACAAACAGAGTAGCTACTATTGGAGAACCAGTAAGCATTATGGCAGAAAATTTCGATAGTCGGAAGAAGAATGCGGACAAAGTGCAATGGTTTTATGGAGTAAGTATTTTATTGATGCGTCGTGATTGTTGCCTGAACAAAGCTGTGAATCATTGTTATGTGGTCAGATGGAGGATCTAAAATGCTGTCTTTTTTAAAGTATTTGCAATATGCTTATATCACAAGAAATGACATGTTTTTCTAGGCTCGTCATGGAGGCTGGTGGCGTTATGAGCGTCGACACGAAGGCGAAATTGAAGAAGCTTATCAACGTGCTTTACACAGCATTGATCTACTTATTGCGGGCAACTTGTTTTGCATTGATTTTGACAGTATGTGTCAGTACAGGAAAGATTTTGGCAGGTAAGTATGCCTATATTTAACTTGTGAAAAATTATGCGAATTCTTTGATTTTTGTTCAATAATAGCGCAAGAAAATCTTTATGAATTGTAAATTTTATTGTTTTCTCCTAGTTACAATAAGTAACTTAGATTTTTAGATTTCAATTCGTTAGTGAGGTAAAGATGTTTGTACTCACGGTGCTTTTATTCGTTTGTTAGCAATTCCTTCTGGTATTTCTGTAGGAGAGGTAAATTTACTCGTCCAATAAAACGAATTGAAGAAGGAGACCTTAGTCTGGATGGTGATGTTCGTGGTATTGCTGGTCTACGTATGTCTAGTGAATTAAACATCAACAATGAGCAAGGCTTGTCTGAAAAGTTCGAAGCAATTACTGAAAATTTAAATTCTTTAGATTTTAACGAAGATTAAGTCCTGGTAATTGTTTATCCTGGACGAGGGAAAAGATGATGATGTAGTCTCGTTACTTCTTTTGTCTGCGGGTATTCATTTTTTGAAATTAAAATCTAATGTTTCTGTAAATATTATCTGTGACTATCTAAATTATTAGCAAAAAATTTTTAGGTGAATTACGTAAATTTTTGGAATTCATGTTATCCTTTGATTATCATCCCAGCTAATCTTCCGAATTTCTTTTCATTAAACATCTTTCATGCTTTTCAATATTCTGCTGAGTATTAGAGCTGATTCAAACGTTAAATTTCTCTTCCAATGAAGTTCGGAAAATGTCTGCCATGAGGAAAACAATAATGAGAATAGCGAATACCAAGAGTATGTTCGCAAACACTAGATTATTATTTTTATATCTGTTTGTGATTTTAATGTATTCCTTTCCAGAAAAAATTTAGTTTTCAGATAAATAGAATTCAATTTAGTTTAGAAGTGCCTAATTTTGTGATTTGGATGGAAACTTTTGGTATACAGAAGTACGAAGTTTTTTCCTTTTATCATCCCTTTTAAATTTGCACATTCATGGTAATTTGTACATTATTTTCTTTCAAAATAAATATTTTCCTAACAATTTCACTTTGGCGTTTATCTAAAATAGGTATTGATGGATTTACAGAATTTACGCAGCTGAAGTTATAAAGAATTTTCGTAAGAGGTATTCACAATTTTCAATCTCAGTAAAATATTTTGCATTTTGATATAAGATATTTGGGATTCTTCTGAGTAGTAGTTTTACACTTTCATCAAATGGTGTAAAAATTGTCACTATCATAGGATCGATTTCTGCTCATCAGGTGTCCACATAATCCAGACGAATTTGTGTCGAAATCTTGAACCTGCAGTAAGCTTATACCGCAATTTTTGGTTGCTTCAAAGAAAAAAGACTTAAATTCACATCTCTCTAAAATATTTTGGTCTTCGCATTCCCTTCGTAAAGAATTAGGTCCATCTTTATTGAGATACAAGTTTTAGACAATCTGGTTGAAATCCAGTTAAGAAAATGCTATTTCAAGTACACACGTGAAAGGCTGTAAACCAGTAAACAAGGATTAAAGATCCTAAAAAACCTGATTTGGTAGACTATATAAAACTGTTATAGCTGATTTGTAGAATCCGAGAATCTTAGACATCCTGGATTTTAAAAATTGTGTTTTTGCTATAGTTATAGTGAGGTCTTTGAGCACGAATTTTGAAAATATAGAAGTTATAAAGTAACTTGGAGGTTCTTAATAAAATCTTATGACACCTGAGTTTAGTGTTTAGTGTTATCGAGATTCGATTAGTTCAGTGGACAAACTTCATATGGAAGAGTGATATTGAAATTTGTAGTTTTATAAAAGATTTTTCAAATAAAATATAAAGAAATAATACTGAAAACTACAAATAATGATGTTAAATTCATCACTATCAAACATGAAAATGGTATAGTTAGTGGATTCCTGTGTTCATCAAACAATCCGATTATATCTGACCTGGTTATATGGAAATTTTGAACTGGTCATTTTGCATAGAAATGCTGTCATGAAATCTGCTTGGTCAGTGCAAAAAATTTTGCCTTATCAAAATGGTTCTAATCTTATAAACACTTACTTTTACTGATCGATCCACCAAATATTTCTTCCTAATTTTCTCTTCTGTGATCATAATCTTTTCCTTTAATAATAATCCTCTTAGTTCAAAACTGTATAGTATTAATTTCTTCGCTACTTATGACACTTCAGGATCTCAGTATCAGTTATCTGATGCTGAAAAATGATGTAATAAGCGAAGAAAGTAGCATCATCCTAAATGCAATAATAAAATAGGAATACAGCAATTTGACATACATATGTTTGACTATTACTGGTATATCACTAAAAACACTTTTTTTCCTCATTCTGTCAATATTTCAAACAGCGTATTGTTGATAGCATCAGTATAGTTTCACTTATCTAATTAAACTGATAAGTAATGAACAGTAGTTTTCTTATTTACTCATGTTACACTAAAATATACTTTGAAATAGTTTCAGAGAAAAGAAAAAAGTGGTGTTAAAAAAAAAATTTGCACTGATGTAACGAATTCTTTTTTTTTTCTTTCATTTTACAGAAGACATGAAAACAGTGCAAAAAAAATTTCAAAAAGATGGCGGAAAAAATAGTATTTTAATTAACTATTAACAAAATATTCTATATGCAAGTTTTTGTGTTAAAATGAATTTAAAATGAAATCAGTTCTTGCTTATTATTAATGAAATGTGCTTATGCAGATATTAATTACAAATCTTTGAAAAGAGAAAGGTGCCAATAGCAAGCAGAAATGTTAGCAACACATGTCATAAGGTCAATTCATATCATGTGTCACAGTCATTGTGGCATAATATATGACAGTCTCGATTAACTTGACATCCGATCACTAGATCACTTGATCACTGGATCATTCGATCAAATGCAATCAAAATAGAGATGTTTGTGCATTTGGAACTAACTACACGACAAATTGTCATCCTGTCATTATCATTAATGGAAAATTTTAGGGATCTAATAAGAAATTTTCAATATCGTTTCGAAAATATCATCTCGAAGGTGATATTATGGCAGAAAATAAAATATTCATTATTCATAGCTTTCTAAGAGTTTTTGAACATTAACAGAATTATGCGCAGTTCCTTTTCTTAATAAATATTCTTTAATTCTAATTTCTAATTGTCTCTAAATTTTGTTAGAATTAATTATCTCTAAATTTTGTTAAAATTTAGATTAATTGAGTAGATTTGTTTCATATGGAAGTAAGTGACACATAAATAATTTCCTGATTAACCATTCTTTTTCTGAATAAAACACACAATCTATTAAATATCTATTAAGTTGTATGTCAGAGTTCTAATAAATTCATTCAAGTAAAGTTAAAATGATCTGAAAATAATTCTTATATTTTTTTTTTTCTCTAATTTTTTTGGAATGAAGAATTTTAAGTATCATGAAATAACTAATCGGAAACATTAATTTGTTGTGATTTTCATGACATCTTTTCTGCAGCTTCTTCTATTCGGTGGGATTTAAAAGAAACGATTAAAGTTTTAATTTTAAAACTATTCGAAAAATATAAAGAAAGATAAAAATATAACAAATTATGAATGGATTAGTGATAAGAATACAGATTAAATATTGCTGAAGAGACGAGAACATAACGGAATATAAATTTAGAGATACAATATTCCGGCTTATATCTGACTACCATCCTATCAGATACTATTGACAGCTTCTGGAATTCAAACTGATAACAACCGGTTTTGGATAGCAGGCAAATACGGATGTTACAACTTTCGAAATTTCGGAAACGATCAAAAACGGAATAGTTTCATAGGTAATTCAGATTGTAAACTTAGAATGGAATGCTGAAGGAAATAAATTGAATAAATTAATGAACTGATAGTTTTACAAAAATAAAAACAATAGAATTATAGTATAACAATAAGCAATGATAAGTTTTCTGTTATCAATAAATCCGTATTTGCTTCTTCATTTTAACAATAAAAAAAAAAAAAAAAATAATAGGTAATTCAGAATTATTTGCCATTTTAATTTGTTTACTAGTAAGTGCCTAAATAATACTAATCGTTTTGCTTATTTTGCTTTAAACAAATTAATCTTAAACCAATTAGGTAAATTGGAAATTGAATTTTATATAACAAAAAAGAAAAAAGCCAATTCTGAGCGATAAGAATTAAGAAAAACTATGAATGCAACAATGTTGCAGCACAGAATAATAATTATTCATGCAGATATCAACTTTGGAAAATTTTTTTTTGAATCGAATTCAATAAAATAAATGCAAAAATTCTATTGAAATTTTGAAATTCCTACCAAAAATTGGCAACTTTTGTTACTGATAATTTGATGAAATATTACTTCAATATCGTCATCATTTAAACTTCGTAGTATTTCATATTATTTATGTTATGATTAGTGATAAGAGTATAGAGGATAATTGATAATGAAAAAAACTTTATCAGTTATTTATTTGATATTATAATCGATTTTATCATATTTGCATGCCTTTCTACCAATGTAATAATTTGCTATATGTTATGATAAATGAATTCAGAAACTTTATTTAAAATTTTTTTTTTTCATTTTATCATTTAATCTCTAAAATATTTTTAACTTTAATCATTTTAACATATATTTTATTTTTTTTATAAACATTTCCGTATTCAAAACATTATACAATCTCAAATTATTCATATCAGTGCAATATTTTCATTCAAATTGTCCAACTATAATAGCCATTTGTTAAAAATTTTTCTCACTTTTTCAAAAATAAAAAAAAAAAAAAGAAATTTATAGTTAAATAGAAATTTTAAATTTCATACAAATTTTACTATTATTTACTAAATTACTATAAAAACAAGTCTACAATCTATCACATAATTTCTTGTTCTAAATTTATCATTTATAAGAAACCTGTTAAATGCCTCTTGCAACATATATAGCAATGTTTTATTATTTCATTTTAAAGCTAATCAACATAACTTCTCTCATTCATTCATAACAGATAAATGCTAGTTTTGAAATATTTGTAAATTTAAAACTGATTAGAGAATATTGCAAAATATTTATGTTATATTATCAAATGATGAAAACGATTCATTTTAGGGTGGTATTTTTCACTTTAAATTATTTAGTTGGTAAATATAAAATTGCCAAAAATGTATTATTTATAATGCGGTGAGCAAATTTGAGATTCAATCAAACAAAATTTTTATAATTTTATTTCTTTTGCAATTGTATCACAAATTGATTATTTCAATATTAGTTACATTCTCTTATAAATCTCTATGTACACAATTTAATCCTAAAGAAAAGAAATTCTGGAAGTTAGATTTTTTAATAATTTATTTCATTCATTTATTATTTATATACATTAAAAAACATGGTAATTTTTTCATTGTTTTTAGAATGTTAGTATTCGCTTAAATAACTTTTTCGAGATTTCATTCTTATAAATTAATTAATACATTTTCTTGATTGTTAGCTTAATCTAAGTAAAATTATTATTCACTTATCTTATGAAAAGTATAGAATTTACTAACAGTCAATTTTTGTATAGATTTTAGACAATCATTTGTATCATTTTGTATACAAACAATCATTTTATCATTCTTTTTTTTTTTTTTTTTTAACTTCGAAATTAATTTCTTCTTTCATCTCTTTCAGAATATATAAAATATGAAAACAGCGTTTGCTGTGGCAACAAGCGCTAGTGTTTGTTGTATTATATTATCGCTAATTGCTGTTGCATTGATCTTTCATGATATCAATGAACTCAATACTAATGTAATGATGGAAATGGAAGAATTCAAAGTAATTAACTTTTCAATAACAAAAAATGAAGTAAAAATATTTTATATGGAAATATTACGATATTTTAATGTATTAAGTAGTTTTGAGTAAAATGTAAATTTGCAGATGACAGCAGAGGACACATGGCGTGAAATTACATATGTAAATGTAAATTCATACGATAATATCAAACGATCACTTTTCCCGTATATTTCTGTATTTCGAGCTAAAAGACAAAACAATCAATGCAGTAAGTTTTACTTTAATCATAGTGCTTTATCATAGTGTACATTTTATTGAAATCATTTTAATTTTAAGAAATTCTTCACTCTTTAATGGAGCTTTTTTAGATTGTGGACCATCACCTAAGAAATGTCCAGAAGGACCAGCAGGACCACGTGGTAAACCTGGTGAGAAAGGTGCAGATGGATTACCAGGAGAAGACGGTATGCCTGGAACACCAGGAGTTGCTTTGCTAGCAACTTATAACATTCCAGGCGGTTGTATCGATTGTCCACCTGGCAAACCGGGACCAGTCGGACCAGTAGGTCAACCAGGATTACCTGGACCGAAAGGTCCACCCGGTGCACCAGGAAAGAATGGCAAGCCTGGTCAAAGGGGTCCAGCCGGTCCAAAAGGTGATATTGGTCAGATTGGCCCTGATGGTCCAAAGGGAAAACCGGGTCGGGATGGCAAAGATGGCAAACGTGGAACTGGACCACAAGGCAAGAAAGGACCAAATGGACAACGCGGACCAGAAGGTCCCAAAGGCGAGGACGGTAAGGACGGAGAGCCCGGACCACCGGGTGAACCAGGACTAGATGGTAAACCTGGTGCCAAAGGACGTGATGGTAAAGATGGGAAACCAGGCATAGTAAGTTCCACATTCCTTTATACTTTTCTGTAAGTTTCCAAGTTTTATGATTTCCATTTTCATACTTTCTCAAATTCTTTTCCAGCTTTAGTGTATTTCTGAAGCTGTTCAGATTTACGTTTCACGATTTCCCATTTCTTTGCAGCCTGGTATTCCTGGAATGCCTGGAAAAGATGCAATCTATTGCCCATGTCCACTTCATCCACAAAAGGCACCACCAGCACCGCCTAGTCAATATGAGCCACAAAAAGCTGAAGAACCACAAAGTGGTTATAAGCAGAAGAAAAAAATGCATAAAAAATAGTGACAACAATCATTCCCATTCTTTTTTTTTAACAAAAATTTATATTTGATCTTTTATTGGAAAAGGAAAGAGAAAGGAGAAACCCATAAATATCCCTTTTCTATTTATATAATCATACGTTATAACTTGCATCATCACAGCAATTTCTAAACAGAAACAACATTTTTCAATCATACCATCGATAAATACCAGTATCTTTCATCATGTTTTAAAATCAACCATCAAAGTGTTTCATTTTTGGAAAATAGACATAAAAACAACAGCGCAAATAAATGGAATTCCTAAAATATTCTAAATGTTAACACAAAGTTAATACAACCAAAAAATTTCTTTGCAATAATATTAATCTAAAAAATTTATCAAATTATTAAAGTGAATATTTTTTTGAAATATCTAAAAAAAAAAAAAAAAAAAAACAGCTTAATATGAAAAAAAAAAAAAAGAGCTTACTATAAATTTTAATTCTAAATGCTTTACAATAGTCACCGTAAAAGACACACACATATCCACTGCAAAATTGAATACGTTTGCCAAAATTCACCAGAAATCAATGAGAACAGATAAAAAAAAAATGAAAATGAGATCAACATAAGAATGTACAGAAAATTAAAACTTAAAATGTGCAAATATTTTGTTTGTCAACCAAATTTGAAATTGTATTTGATCTACAAGCTATCTTAATAGCCATAATTTGCCGAATCATACTGAATGATAATATAAAAATAAATCAGATTGCAAATTTTCATACTTACTTATTAGCAGTGTTTTCCATACGCTCCAAAATGCTAAGCAAAAATGCTAATCTTTGCTTCAACTCATCAATAGGAATTTCGGGTAATTCTAATTGAACTGATGCCATTGTAAGATCAAAATCAGACCCGTTTTCTTTATGAATATACAAAATTTTTCGATCTTCTTCAATTGTCCATTTCCTTATTGGATCCATCATAACTGAACAAGGTATGCTGCATTGAACAAATTCTTCGCCAGGGTTAATTTTGCACGAAGGATCCATATTTAAATCAGCTTTTACAACTTTAGATTCTGCAACATTTTCCAATGCAATATCAGCACCACTTCCAGAAGTCCCATTAAAATTTCTACTGATATCATCATTCTCGGTCAAAATACTTCCCTGTTTTATTACAATTTCTTCGCATTTTTTTCGTTTTTTCTTCGTTTCAGCTATTTTTTCTGGTTGTATGGGACGCTTTCGAACGAAATGCAAAGTTGCAGTATTCTTCCTTGGAGAGATAATGCTCAAAACATCATTCGTTAGATTTCCTGCAGTTGGTTGACTGATATCTGCTATCTCTTTCGGAATTGTTGCTTTCGGTAACTTCATAATTTCCACTTTATTTGGCATTTTGTATTTACGCTTCTTTACTTTCCTTACTGAAGGTCGACGGCGTGGAGGAATTGATGGAGTAATTTTTGTTTGTTTCCATTCTGCTACAACCTCATATAGCTTACCTCTGAAATATGCTAAATTAGAATTAAGCTTGAAAAAAACAAAAATTTGTTTAATAAGAATGCTATTTCCATTTTCTTGCATTTATTTTACAAAAAAAAAAAAAAAAACAAAAAAAACAAAAAAACAAAAAAAACAAAAAAAAAAAAAAAACGTTGACGTTGCAGCTTAAAATCGAGGCACTGTCACATTACCAACGTAAACAAGACGATAAAATGCATTTATTTATTAAAAAAAATTCACTTCCGTTCAGTAAAGAGATTGCGCAAGAATCCAACAAAAACCCCGGAACGATGTTTCTCCGTTTGAGCACCAATCGCTGTCGTAAGATCGACATTTTCAAAAGGGGCGTCCACTTTCTTCCAACTGCATAAATCAACATATTCAAAATCTGCTTCGGAATAACTGAAATTTGTGTAAATATTATCTATATATTCCAAAAAATCTCTGTTCTTTGAAATTCCAACCAGTGACTTTCATTTCGATAATTTACAGATATTCAAGTATGTTGAAGAACTATTGATGATCAACAAACCTATTATTTCAAAGAAAAACTATTATGTAAATAAAAATACAGCAAGAACAGCAAGGTAAATACAATAATAACATTAAAATTACTTCGACTGACAAATACGAGTTGGAATATTTTGCGAAATAATTTCCCATAATGGACCCTTATTACCAATCAACTCGGATAAACGAGTTGTTAAGGCTTCAGAGGTACAATTGAATCCTAAAAACCAATTCCTAGTTGTTTCAAAAATGCTTGAAATTCTTCCAAAAAGAAAAAGAAACCAGACGATTTGAAATATATATAAAAAATTGTATAAGACATTCTTGCAAATGAACAAAATATTCCAAATGGAAAGCAGTTATTATCAAAGCAGGAGAAAAACCATCCTTACCAAGATCACGTACGTTACGGAATATAGTGCGCGCGGACAATCTCGTATTTCCAAAAGACGTGAATGCCTGCAAGAAAAGACTTGGTGCGGTGAAAAAGAAGTTAACAAATTCAAACTCGTCTTTAATAGCAGAAGGCTGAAGGTTTCGTAAGAATACTTAATTAATTGATGACCTCTAATATGAGCATTTCCTAACTTGAAAAAAAGAAACACAAAGTAAACTTCAAATTTCACACTTTTCAATAAAGATTATAGTAATCCAAATTTCTTATAGCTACTTTTAGTACCAGATCATGTAATCTTATACCATGTTCATGCACTTTACAGAAAAATTTTTAATTTTAAAATACAAAACCTCGATATTGTATATCATCTCCAATGCATTACTATACGCCTTGCGAATTGGATTTTCAAGAACACTTGTTGGAAGTAAATTTTGCGGAAAGAGAAAAGAGAGAAGGAAATACATCGGTTCATGTTCCTTTTCGAAAATATCGTGCATCCTTTCGAACATCTGAAATTCTCCGACAAATTAAAATATGAAATTTCATCAATCTACATTATAAAATCAAAATACTTTGTAAAAAAAAAAAAGAAATGAAAATTATTCACCTCCGGAGACATCGAACCTTCAGCGATTAGCTCGCATAGAGCTCTTACTTTGTCTTGATACATAAACATACGCTGTTGAAAATCATTAAAAATGACATGCGCCATACACTTTATTTGAAGTGCACGATGTTCCGCATCAAGCATTCCATGCAGTCCATCTCTTGCACGATCTTTACGAGTGCGTACACGTTTTCGTCGCTTCTCTTCATCTATAGGTTCATTTCCCTCACCACCACTACCATCACCCTAAATTTATGTAAAAATTACATTATCGAATTATAATAATGTAATCTTTAGTGTCCTCAACTTTAAGAATCATTATTACGATTGAAAGTTGTAAAATCACACTAAATAACTTTATTTTCCAAAATTACTTTTAAATCAAATCAAAATGACTCAAACAATGAAGTACCTTCTTAAGATGCGCAATAAATGATAATATCAGTCAATAAAATAATCAAATAAAAGCATACTTCTTGATCGCCTCGTAACGATGATTTACTAGCATCCGTTGCATCAGTCGGTAGTTGTTGGTCATCTCTGACACTTTCATTACTCTGACCTCTGTCATTTGATACCGTCTGCTCATTTTGTCCCTTTTTTGATCCACCATCTTCTTCATTATCTTGTGCAAAAGAAGGATTACTGCAGTGAACAGATTCAAACACCTGAATAGGATTAGCAGTTGAATCGCATGAAATAGGTCGGGTTATTACATCATTCTTGGTCACATTTTCACTGTACTCTAAAATTCCATTATTAGGACTGTAAGCTGTAAGATCGCATTGAACAGCTTTATTTTCCATGCCGAACACCATTAGACTGTTGCAGTATAATGGATTTGTTGGTGTCCATCTGAAAATTTACAATTAAATCTTCATTAAAAAAAGAAAAAACTCAATTTGCAAGTCCATTCATATGAGATAAAAATAAAATAAAAATTAATTATACCTTACTGGATCAAAATATTCAGTATCCCCATTTGGAGTATTTGGAACCCATTTTGCTGAAAAAGTGATACATAACTTTCAAATTAATAAAAAAAAAAAAAATAACTGTGATGAATCAGGTAGCATATCACGAATGATTTTATAAAAAAAGCTTCATCATTCAATGCTGCCTGCCACATCACATCAAACGGCAATAGTAGCATAAATTTGAACCAAAATCAATTCTACTTCCACATCTTTTTTAATCATTGTCAGGACTAGCGTATTTATTACATGATCTATATATCATTGAGGAACTTTCTGGCTTGTCCAAAGAAGTTTCTGCATCGGAACATCCTGAATGAAATGATTTCCGACTTATGCACCGAATTTCTTGACAATCTCCATGACCTTCATCTAAAATTGATCTCAAAAACAATTTGAAAAAAGAAACAATTCATCAATGGTTTTGAAATAATGAGAAACTGAAGTTAAAAACTTCGAACAGAACCAATAATATATTATTAATCTTTCAATAAAAAAAGTTCCAAAATACCTTCTGCAACGTCATAAACTTCTTTACTTTTCTCAATAACCACAGCAGAAGAACATGGTGTCATCTCATTCTCATACTGTATATCAGCTTCCATTGAACATGACGAGTCAGAATCAACGGTACTAAAATACGACGAAGCATCATCATCACTACCGCTATGTTTTATTCTCTTTGGTGATTGTTGTAAACAAATTGAATTCTTGAAATTTGGCGAAAACGACGAATCTATCGCAACTTCTTCATCCGAAATACTTGATTCCTTGCTTTCATCAGTTTCATCAATTGTGTCAAACTCATACAGATCCGAATCAAAACTTTCTTCATATTCGTTTTTATCTAATCTTTTAGTCGATGGCATCTTTTTGAATGGTGCAAGTCTTACTGGTTTGATCGTATTAAGGTTTCTGGCAACATCTGCTGACTCTGAAAAATGTAAATCAGAGGTATTACTTAGCTTCATAAATTATTATATTCTTGAATTTCAAAAAAATGCTGAACAAAAAATTTAATCGTAGAGATGTAAGTTAGTCATGAAGTTAATGAGTTTTAATATTTTACAACCAACTAGAAACAACACGATTTGTTGAATATTGTGAATAAGTTACTAAATGATTCGCCATTACCAGATGATATAGTCCTTGAATTACGTGAAATCGATGGTGACGTCTTCTCACTTGATGGCGATGCGACTCTCAAGGAACATGAGTTTGATGGTGATCTGCTATGCCCAATTGAAATGACTGCTGAGTGGTTCGATGTTGATGACAATTTTCTACTTACTATTGACTGATTTAAGTTTGAGCGTAACGGGCTCGTTACTTCACACACTGGGGTGGATGCGAAAAGCAAAAGATTGCGAACAGGTGATGATGGAATACCATCTACTTCAGTATGATCTATAAGAAGTTCTATATTGATGTATAATGATTAAACTAACAATATAAAATATGTTTACGTATCCTGCATGAAAAATGTAAAATTTCACACCATTGTTAACGCATGTTGACATTGGTCCATTCATTTTAGCATTGTCATAAGCATGTCCAGTAGAGCTGTTGTTAGTATCCGAAGTAACTGACATGGCCAGTACGTCTCTGTTGAAGGTCCAATTATCTGTATCTACTGTATGACATTGAAGACTGTTCGAAAGAGAACTACGGTCTGAATATGGACGATCCTGTAAAGACGATCATAGCTAAATAGTTATTTGGGGAAAGATTAACTAAAATAATCTAGGAAAATTAACTTAAATCAAATTTTCAGTTGCCGATATCAAAAGATTCAGCAGAGCGAAAAGAAAAATCTAAACAGATTACTAGCACAAAATGTTTTACCAGTGATGGAGAATCATTTTCATTAGTAATCTTCATAAAAGTCAGACCATCCAATGCAAGATTTTCACATTCTAAATCATAATTTTGTCTCTCAACGAGTGCCTGCAAAAAAGAAAAAAAAAAAACTGAAGTGTTATTACTTCAATCCGAAAGCTAAAACGAACATATTGCTGAATAGAGCAAAATTTGTAATTCTAAATTGAAAATTTCCTTAAGGAAACCTTGAGCCATTTAGGCTGAAGATGCTGTGGCCATAAGTAAGGGGGACCAGAAATCGCGGTCGACCTATTTTCCAACGGAAAAATCATGTTTACCATACCCGTTTCAGCCTTCTGAAACTTTACTTCGCTAAAACTTTATATAAAAACACTCTCTTTAACACCACTTTAAACAATCAGAAGATGTCTTTGAAATCATTTTTTTAATCACAAAAAAAAAAAAAAAAAATGGATCCTTACCACGAAAAGCGTATGTACAGGTTGGTTACTGCAACGAAAATTTTTCAAATGCAACCGTATCTGTGACTGTGTTTTGTTTGCTAATAAATGCTCATTGATCAATGCATAACATCTTCGTTTTCCAGAAAATTGTTTCAAATGAGTGAACTGATACAAACCAAGAGCTAGAAGACACTCTTCCTCTCGGATAAAATATGGATAAAATGTGGGAAAAATCTCCATACGAACCTAAAAAGTAATCATTTCATTGACAACAAACATTTTTCTGTGTAAACAACTTTTTATTTGAAAGAATAACAAAGTTATACCTGTGGTAGTAGTTCAGGAAAAAGCAATGCTCTACTTCGAGAAAGAATGAACATCGTTCTTGGTAACGGAAGTTGCACTAAAAATTCAAGATTATTCAGGAAAAAAACAACTTTGTTCATTCGCAAAATACTCATATCTACTATCTATATCAAAATTTAACGTACATTTCCTGGACTTCCGCCGATGAGTAATAAAATCACTAATAGCTTCACATTCTATTGCATCATGGCATGTAGCTATACAATCTTCCAAATTTACAATATTAAATAGAGAATGTTCTGGGCGTTTCAAACAATAATCATTCAGTTCATTCTGCAACATGACAAGTTTTGTAGAGAATGCGAAAATAATTTCATGTTATTCACTTCATAAACAGAAAAAATAAAGAAATTCATAAAAAATCACGAGATGAAAATCTATGTCCTATTAAACAATGTTTCGAAACCTACTGCAAAGACCTGAAACTTACAATCATAACTTGAAAAGCATTATATGTTTCGATCATTGCTTTACTGAAATAACAGCCCACTGCAAACTGAGTTAAAAGTTGCACATGCTAAAATTAATTTTAGATTGTTTTTTGTAATTTTAGATGTGCACAACAACTAACTTTTTTTTTTTTTTTTTTTTAATAATTTTAGATGTGCACAACAACTAACTAAAAATTATCGTTGATAAATCGGCAAAAATAAAAAGCATTTATTTAAATTTTTTTAACAAAAAGGAATATTTACAAATATTTTGAAACATAGCAAATGATGTAAACCAATACTTACTTTTTCTAATTGAGCAATAAGCTGCTGAAGTTCATAAAATGAAAAGAAAGGAGGATTTTCAACACTGGCACATAAAAGAGATGAAGACAATGTCGAAATCTTCTGAAAATCATCCAAAGTTGCATCCACAAGAACGGTGGTTGGTTCAGTATTTCCTGGTAAAGATTCCATAAGCATTGTTTTAGTCTTCTTCATATTTGGCTTATAATCATCCTGCCTATCCAACTGACATGATTTATTTTCATCCTAAAAAATTTATATATAATTTCTAAAAAGTATCACTTCAAAAACTCAATACAAAGTGAAGAAAGATGTATTATAACTGAGCTTCATAATATTTGAATTTCTAAAAATAAATTTAGCTATGCTCTGAAATTATCGACTACTAATATTATAAAAACATTATGATGTGATAAGGGTCACATTCTGAATTTCAATTTTGAAAGAATATCTTAAAATCACCTTCACGCAGTCGATAGTTTGCTCCAAATGTTCAGGTGAAGGCAATAAACGAGCCTCCAACAAGTCTTGCAACAAGTTTTCAACTTCTCGTACTGCAAAAAAGAAGAAAACAATCAGTCTTTCAAGTTGCTTAGTGATTAACTCTTCATAACAAAACTTCGTGTATAGTAATGCAGCTAGCGAATAAAATGGAAAATATACTTACAAGGTATTTCTGTGGCACGATCTTTCCGTATTTCATACTCTTCTGTTATGTCTTCCGCATCTGCATCCGAAAGAAAATTATATTCTGGATCTTCGGCCTCTGTAATAAGATACTTATGAATAAAAGCATCATAAATACATACATTATGCTATCAATAGAGAGCAATGAAAAGTATAACCATTCAAAACAACAAACAATAAATGAATACCATCAAGATCATATTTTGAGGGATCGTTCAGATTTGAAATGAATTCCACATATTCTGGATCATCCACTGCACTGTACAATAAAACATCATCACCAAAGTTTGGTATATCTTCTGGATAAATGTTACTTTCATGTTTTGAGCGTGTATGTAATGCAGGTGCCACATCATCATCATCATTACTAACTTCTACCTAAAACAGCGAACTGACTACGCTCTTTTACAAATAAAAACTTTTATATATGTAATCATTATATGAAATCCAAAGAGATCAATAAAGTACACCTGAAGTGCATTATTCAAAACACCAAACGAAATTTCTCCAGTATCTGCTTCATTTTCTACTTCTATTTCACTCGCCTCCTCATCCTGAAAATATAAGCCAAAATTGGAGACATTAAATTTATTATAAAAAAAAAAAAAAAAAAAACCCTACTGACATAGTCAATCAATTCATTTTACTATAATTTCTAATAAAAAAAAAGGTAAAACAAAACCTTGGAATTCTGATCAGAGGAAACGAACTTATAAAGCAAAGAATAACACAGAGTACCTGCTCAGGGAGATAATCATCATCATCATCTTCATTTGAATCATAATTAACGTCAAGGAAAGTTCGTGAAACACGAGGCACTGTCACAACATCTCCTTCTTTCACACTAATGTTCTGCAAAAACATCGATTTGAAAGACTTTTAAATAAAGTTTAACAAAAAATCAGTGCAAATTATACAGATGAAAAAAGGTGAGTTTACTATTTATGTATAATTGCAATTGTAAACACATTTTACTAGCTAATTAAATTGCATGAATTACCGTTTCTTGTCCGGATAAATGTTTTGTTCGTGATCTTGTCAACTTAAGATCTGCAATTGCAGAGCTCTTATCTAATCCCATAATGACAGATATCACTTGTGGATTCTTTATCATATGCTGCAAACAAGCAATATAATTTTGAAAAACTATGAAATTTTTATTACTTTGAAAATTCTATGACAACGGAATTCTGATTTTTTTATTCAGAAATAACTTAGATCCTTTTTCAGAATTATCGTTCTGATAATTTAATTTTTTATTAGTTCATTATAAGTGATGTGATTCTTCCAAATGTCAGAAACTGAAGAAAATTGAAGAGAAACCCACGTGTAATATCGACTTGACATTGATAGCTGTAAGATTAAGTGATTTGGCTTTCATTTCTAACTTCTCGTCCATATGTTTCCACATTTTGACAATTTCTTCTCTTTCTTGAATTTCTTTGATTTCTCCCTTTTCATTATTATGTTTATTGAAAACATTACCATCAATTCTACCTTCTTTATCCATTGTCCTGAAACAGTATTTACTTTGGATTTGCTACTATACATTAAAATACACTATAACATAAGTTCCTTCCATTAATTTAACTTTCTTATTTCGAAGAAATGTTATACAAGATTTGCTACAATTGATTGATGAATCTCCTCAAATCAACTTTTCAGAATATTTAATAGGGTTTAATGCTACATTTGTTTAATATTGTAATATCAAAACTTTCATGTCACCTTCAACCTTCAATATTATAAGAATAACATTACTGGGAAATTTAGAGGTTATTCTCATTCCTGCTATTGCCTAGCATAAATTTTGATAAGTACTTCATATACTTTGTTGAAACATAACTTAAAAATTAATTAAACATTAAGAAATTATTTTTGTACACATTTATTAAAAGCAAAAGAAAAACTAAAGCATCTATAAATGAGAAATGTACAACATTTCACCAGCAATCTCCTTTGTGGCGAATAAAACATAAAAAAAAAAAAAAAAAAAAGAAAAAAAAAAACAAGCTGAATTGTGGCCGATTATGACAGGATGTACCGTTGCGTGAAAATGCAAAAAAAAAAAAAAAAAAAATTACAACAAAATCTTCAGATCACAGTACATTAAAATTCATAAAACTATTAATTGACAGAAGAGAAATAGAACTATACCGAAATAGTAATGTAAATAGAAAAAAAACACACACATACATACACAAAAGTACAGAAAATCAACAAAGACGATAACAGAGCAAAAGTTGCCATAATACGAAATCTAGGTGCAAAAGGCAAATACATCTAGAAACAAACTTTATAATAATAATAATAAACTTATACTGAGCTTTTAGAATTAGCAGTATAACACAGAATTACAGCACAGTACAATAAGATGACAGTGAATCACCGTAAAAGTATACTCCGAAGACATACAAGCCATAAAACAAATTTATAAAATTCTACTGTTATAAACTTTAATAAATTCGAAACTCACACGATTCGTAGACATTTACAGTTATAAAAAAGTATCATATAAATTTTATAAAACAATAAGAAACCAACTACAAAATATGGGAAACCCATTATTTATAAATACCTTTAACAATATGCTCAATACAAATAAATATCGATTGCTTACTGCAATTTTGTGACACACAATAATCAGTTAAATAAAAAATTTACGGAAATACAGAGATGGAACATACGGAAAAGATAGGTAAAAAATAATGAACTCATAATGAGAAGATGAGGAAGCAGAGCGAATGAAGGAAATGTTTGGAAGAAACAAGTAATCACTTCGGTCCATGTAAATAGTTACTAGGAAATTTCACACTAATTTTTTAGCAAAAAAAGCTAACCCGAATTTCCATAAAAGATCACGAAAAAACTTTTTTGTTTGAAGCAACAGTTGTCAATTTTTAAGAGTGCTAAAAGATTTACATCAATGCCTAGGGTAAATAAGTATTTCAGAAAATTAGTAATTGATACCCTGATAATCACTATTTCATTTATGGACAAATAAATAAACAAAGAGATTTCTACTCGGAATCAGAGACTGATTTGCATTCCGCTGTTATGCGGCCTTCATATACCGGTAGTACTGTGGCATCATCGTTCACAAGGAGCAGCTGATAGGGCGAATTACCATCTTCACAGGCAGTTTTAAAATAAAATCTGGAAAAGATCAAGCAATAAAAACATTAAAATCAAATCTGAAAAGGATGAAGCACATTTGATTTTTACTAAAGCAATAAAAACCGAATGTGCTTTAAAAGTGTTTTAAGAGAAAAACTTGCGCAATCTAGAAATGCACAAAATATATATCGAGATAATGAACGTTTGAAATTTATATACTGAATTTAAGAAATGACTTTAACAATTGTACAAAAAAACTAACTGCAAACTCGATTTTGACGAAATTCCTAAGTATTTACGAAATTCTCGAAATGTGATTGGATGAGCTGGAACATGTGCAACTACTGGTACCCGTCCTTTCTCTTTATAACTAATAGTCAGTAGCTGTTTTGGATCCATTCCTCCTCGTGAACGCCTGAGCAATAAAAGTGTAAAAACTGAAGTAAGAAGAACTAAAACCAAAAAAACTAAAGAGCAAGAAAAACAGTGATAAATATAAAGAATATCTTCAAATGTTACAACAATATCCAACATACGATAGTGAACCGAAATCGTGATGTTGTTTGTGACTGCTTCTTCGTCCAGAACTACTGCTGCTTGCACAACCACCATATGAAAGCATCCGCGCTTTCTGAAAGATAGCAGCACGTGCTGCTTCATCACGTTCACTTACAGATGACGGAGCCATCGATTCGATACCCGAGGTATCATAAATAGCCATAGACTTCATGTCACATCTAGAAAATTCGAATGACTACATACTGCGAAATCTCATTTTTACCAAAAAATATATTCTTCATAAAAATTCCTTTTTTTTTTTGTGTGTGTAAGCAGCTTACCGTGCTCCTTTTACTGCAACAGGATTAACATTTGACATTCGATTGTGTCGACTAATTGGTGGTGGCGCAAAGCCATTTGTGCTATAAGGACTCGACGCATAAAATACATTAGCTATGGGTGAAGCTACGTACTGTCGGAAGCGTTCCGGTGAGCTTGATCCTAAAAATACAGAACACAAGATGTTACTATAGGAAATAAGCTACTGCAAGGAGTAAAATTTAACATTTTCTTCTGTTATTAATTAGAAATTGATGACAAAAAAAGACATCAAATTTCATTATAATTAATTATATATCTTACGGATATTTAAAATCCAAGACAAATTTACTTGGTGATCGTCGTCGAAAACGAAGTGATTGAGCATTGAGGGAATCCGGAGAATGATATGATGGTGATGGTTTGCTAGAATCATCAGCCATCCTTTGTCGTACATATCGTTCCAGTTCATCATCTTCTTCAGCAGCTGTTGGTTCAACGTCGTTCACAACTTCGCGTGCTGAGCACTTGCGACTCTATAAGATATATCAATTTCATTTTAATTTTGAAGATCCTGAAAACGTAAGGGACAAAAGAAATTGATTTCTATTTTCTGTTTTAAACAGTTACAGCTTACTTCAATAGCACGAAGCTGCTGACTCATAACATCATTTCTCTTTCGACGAGCACTTAAAACATTCAATTTTTCGATTAGAAGTGAAGCAAAAGCTCGTCGACCCTCTTCAGTGCAGTGAGTAACCATCGGTCCACCATCAACTCTCTCCACCCTCTGATATTATTCATAATTATTTCTTGCTTTTCCATCATAAATACAGAAGAAAAAAAAAAGTACTAGGACGACAACTTACAATTAATATAGATAATGTAGATTTGATTTTTCATATTTAAATTATAACAAGGTGAGTTTAACAAAAGTCTTTTGTTCCATTCTAAACTACATTTCAACATACCGCTAATGTATGCGTTGCTGGGTTGCCCTTTAGTTGCTCTTCTCGAATTGTACTTAATTTTACGGCTGGATGCTGACCGTTAGCATCACTTGAAAAAGTCGATGACACTGCAGAATCATTTTTACTAGTTGTTGCATTGCAAATGTACGGTGTTTTCATTACTGGTCGATATAACTTCTCCACTTCACTGCAACACAAATGAAAAACACTATCTAACCTTAAAGTAATCTACAAAGGCAGAAAAGCGTTAGGAGATTACATATGGACAAATTATTATCGATGAAAATCCAAATATCATAACATAACATCACCGCTTATTATTAACTGGAAACGTAGAAAACTCTCTAAAATCCAACCTTTCACCCAATGTAGTTTCTCGTTCATGTTGTGTTTTCAACAACATTTCGGCAGTAAGAGTTGGTTGACAAGGATACGATTTCCGCTGCTTGCGACTTGACATCAGTGAAGATGGAATACGAGGTGGTTTCGGTGTATATTCCTCCATTCGATTATAAGCATCAATAAACTCTTCGGAAGAAACAAACTGAGCATGTTGCTGTCGCAAATATTGCTCTACCGGTAGAATTACACAGTCAAATACTGTTGGGTCTGGCTCACCAGCCGAAAAGGCATGGATTCGAAAGCTCACTTCTCGTCGAAGATCCTAAAATACTAGAAATTACAAACCAACCATCAAATTTCGCTCTAATACAATTAATTGAGCTTTCACCCGAAATACTTTCTTGTCGATTTAGCAACTAGTGACAATAAAATCAAAAGATTACTTTGACTGTAACAAATAGTATAAAACAACAATAATAAATAATACAAGTATGATAAGTAATAACAATACTAATACCTCAGGTAAAAAAGAACAAACACCCGTTTTTAAACTGATGTATTTTTGGTGTAAACTACGTGCAAGTTCTGCAGCACGAGCATTCTTCATCGTACACATATTTCTTAAACATTTTAAATAGATAAATTACAAGAACAAAAAATATATTAATGGATATGCAGGGTAAACATCAATCTACTAATGACTACTGAAAGGATATTTATTGCTATTACAACTACAACAGGTGCAATATGAAGAATTGACTGTCCAGAAGAAATGCTACCAGCACTGTATCAAGCTAAAGAGAGAAAAGAGAAAATATTTTGTAGGAAATATCTAAAATAGGTTCAATTTACAAAATCATCCGTTGTATCAATTTTTTTTTTAAAGCTTTTAAATAACACTTACTTGTAAGCTATTATGGCAAAATGTAAATTGATAGGATGTTCAGCTAACGATGACTCATTCTTCATCCATTTCTTGAATGCTTCCAAAGCATCACGATCCTCTAGCACATTCTCGAGCTTTTGAGACCATCGATGTCGTTCCTCTGCTGGTCCCATCTTCAACTTTCTACAATTATCAAATGAATATCTCTTCAGCAATAATCTTCTCCAAACTTTGCTCAGCTTTCTGTCTAAATCTCTTACAAAATAGCAACAACAATCTTAGCATCAGCAGATAAACCCAGCTTACTCGACCCTTCCACTCTCATCTTTTTACGATATTGTTAAAGTTCCTGATGTAAAATACCCTCCAAAGCGATTATCCAATAGAAAGATACCCGACATCTACCCGTACTAAGTTGAAATTACCCACATGTCGTTATAACTCCTACAATCATCATCAATGGATCTCGCGAAATTGGCATCAAAATTTCAGATGCATTCCGAAAATGCGATCTTTCCTGCAGGAGAGGCCGTTTGAAGCGCTAATTTGAAATGGAAGAAGAAAGTAAGTAAGTAAGTGAAAGTTTGAGACTAGGCTAACTAGGCCAAATTATGGATTAAAAGCCAAGTGAGATAATACATAAGTATGCAAGTGAAATTAATTATTTTAATAATTGCTGAGATGAAATTTTTGATGAAAATATCTGAAAAATGATTTTCAAAGAGAGGAGATCTTCGATTCTGCCTTGTAATACTTTTAAATGAGTTTAAATGGATCATTTCAAATTCTAAATTAAATTAAATTGAATTTTAAATTAAATTTGAGTTTTGAATTAAACTATGAATCTTGACACTTCTAAAAATGCATCAGTATTAGGACAAGAAAATACTAATATATCACATTAAACTGCTTCTACCATCTATTAATGTTACTTTAAAGTAAAATTTTATTACGTATAAAACGAAAAGTATATGTAATTTTTAATTTCAATTAATAATCACTGAATTTTACAAAAATTAATTATCAATCAATCAATAATCCTTACTGATTGCATTATCATTAACTTTCATATGCTCATATATGCATATCATTTAAAACTTTTATTATTTTACACAAAATATCCTTAATGCAACTATATCCACTAATTTATTCTCATTTTTTCTTTTTTAAAAATAAAAATTTAAAAATAATTTTAGTCACAAATAATAACATTTACAAAGTTAATCTATAATGCGCTAACATAATGATTAGCTTCTTTAAACATTAATATTTGTTTATCTACAGTCTTACTTTTATCCATCTTTCATTCTTTCTTTCAATTCATAATTTTCTTCTTCTTCTTCCCAACATTCTTTATTGTAACAAACACTTACATTTAAGCAAATAAATTTTAATTACAAGTAATAAATAAATGTTTAGTTAATTACAAATGCTATTTACTTCTTGCAAATATCATTTGTTAATATTACTACAAATGATAGTAACATTTTGAGTGTTAAGAGATAATGTTTGACATGCTTCATCCCAATCTTTCCAATATATTTCACGCATTTTTTCAATGAAATTTATTAAATTTGGAGTCCTTTCTTCCATATATTTTCGCAGTACATCACTATCCATTGGTGTATAAAATAACTGTGTTAAATTGCCAAAAGCAATTGCATCCAACTGAAATATAAATGTTATTGAAATTTACTTTCAAAAAGTAATTTCAATGAATTATAGCATCAAATCTATTACGAGTTACAATCTTTAAAACAATGACTAATTTTAATTTTAAAACTAAATAATCTATCAATTTATTTCATCCAATATTTTTTTAATTGATAAAATAAAATGATCTGTGTACATACTTAATAAGAGATTTTAAACTTTAATAGTTTTATTTATTAAATTTCTAGGAACAAAAAAAAAAAAAGAAAAAACTCACTGTTGTTGGTGATGAACCAAAAAAGTACTGTTTATCACCAAGGAAAATTGATAATGCTGTTAAATCTTTCTTTGCAATATTTTCCACTTCATCAATTGTATGCCTACCAATTCCTTGATAATAGCATAATTTCCAAATCTATCAAAATATTTTAATCTTTAATCATCATTTCAATCGTTATTTTCATCAATGCTTTAGTTTATCTAATCATTAATCACATTATCTGTCTTATCATTAATAAATTGTTACTCTTACTTTCACTATAAACATACCTTTTTTCGAAATTGTTCCACAAATACATATTGAAAAAGAGTTCGTTTAGCACCTCTATAATGATTGATAAAACCTTTCTCTGTTGCCATAAATTTATTGTTTTTACCTCTATTATAAAGTATAATCCTGTAATTATAATCTAGCATTGAGGAATGTTGAAGAATTAAAATTTTTATCTTTTATTAAACTACATTTATTATTTCATCTTTTGTTAAATTAATTGTATCTTTAATAATTATAATATTTCCTAAGGTAAAACTTTGATTAGGTGATATAAATAAAGGTTGAAAAGTAAAATTTATGAATGCCACCATCATAGAGTTTTCTGATAACATATCTTACTCTTATAAAATAAAATAATCAGAAATGGAAAGTTTGTGAAGTAAAAATCATTTTAATTGAAATTATATAAGGTGTTATTTGAAATCATCTAAGATTTATTGATCGAAAATTAGATTTCAAAAAATTGTCATAATTTAAGGAAAATTCTGAAATGCAACTTTTATAAATTACCATCTTATAGACTCTTCAAGGAGATATGTAAAAGCTCGAGCTTGTGCTTTTTCCATTGGATTTAATTGTTCTTCCAAATCAATCTGAAATGCAATTGAATTTTACAGCTTTAAAAAAGAAAAAAATCAAAAGAGAATACAATGAGAAATTTTTAGAGCTAAAAAATGTTCAAGTTTTCATCTATTATGGTAGAACAAAAATCAATTTCAATGTTTGTCCGGAACGTTCCGGAAAGAAAAACCTATCAACACTTTAGCAGAAAACTGTAAAAAGTAATATAACACAACTTAAATGAATTCCATTAACGATGAAAATATATGAAGATATGAGAAAATCTTGAGAGTGAACCTTAAAAACTCGAGAAAGGTGTTCGATGCAGTAATTACTGTCCGGTATTTGTCGTCCGTTAAGTTCAATAAATGGAATTTGTTTTTTGGACGAAAATTTGATGAATTCATTATTGATATTCTGTAGAAATGCAATTAAATAGAAATATACTAGAATATACTCTTGTATAGTACTCCTCTATTCGCATCAATCAATAAATTCATTTTAATTTTAATTTAAATTTTAATTTACTAATGCATAGACTTACTTTATATAAAGTAAGAATTGTTAGTTGATTCATTCTCCAACAGAAATACATAATAAGAAGAATAATTTAGCGAAAAAAATGCTCTACCACTAATCATTCAATAATTTTTTTTTCTTTCAAATAAAGTTATTTATACTCAAAAATTTACAGATAAAATTTTGAAAGTATTAGGTTTTATGTCAAAGTTAAAAGATTATATTCCTAAGTTTTTTTTTTCTCTGTAACTAAACTTTAAGTAAACAAATTTTTTCTTGCTAAACAAGCAAAGGTAACAAGTTGGATACTAATTATAAAAAATGTAATTAATTAGTCAAATGAAAAGTTGAGATGTTGTATACTCATCAACCCAAATTCTTCGAATTTTTGAAATATGAAGTATAGAGAGAGATTTATTTGTTATTATGTTTTTCTCTAAAAAATTCTTTATTATTATTAAGTTCAGAAAATGACGATACTTAGAAAAGAAATAAATTACTTTGCTTATTGTAAAAGCAAATGAAAATGAATGTAACGCTGTAAAACAATTCAATTTTGCATCATATTAAAAATTTTTTAATTAAAATTATAATAATAATATATATATATATATATATATATATATGGAAGTGAAGTTAATGATAGTATCCATATTTTAAGCTAAGAAAAAGTTAAAATATTACAAAAGCAAATAAATTTTTGCAATTCGATTTACTTATTTTAAATTAATTATAATGCAATTTAATTACTTTAATTCAAAATATTTATATAAGATATAAAATAAATTAAATAATAATTTATCTTACCGAATATGGAATTTTAGTCATTCGAAGCCATGTTTCCAATTTTAAGGCAAACATTGATAAACTTGGTATGCAACCTGCTCGAGGAAATTGGACTAGGTACACATGATCACGTTGCCAATCTCGTTTTAATAAAATAGGTGCTGGCATAATGTCAACAATGAAAATTGTTCTCAATTAATTGCAAAATGAAATGAAAAATGAGCAAAAAAAAAAAAAAGGAAAAAAATAGCAGTGATATTAACAGGAATGTACTATAAAGCACTAATTTTTAAATAGATAATTAAATGAATGGAATGGAACTTAAAATTTCAATGAAAATTTAAAATTTCAATATTTGAATGATATTAATAAGAGTCAGTATTTATATCATACAAACAACAATCACTATAACTATAAACAGGTTATATGATTTCACTTTAATATTAAAATCATCAACAATAGTAGTGGGTAGTAGTAGTAGAAGCAGAAGTAGAAGTAGTAGTAGTGGTGAGGGGATAGAATGAAAATGAACTGATAATGATAATGAATGATAATAGTGTTAGTGGTGATGAAAGAATGTATTATGAAAAGGTTGAACGGGTGTCGATTAAAATGAGGAATGATTTAAAATAGGGTTAATTAATCTATTTGTGTGCAGTGTGTGTTATGTGTAGAAAGGGAGGAGGGGGGTTGTTGAAATGATAGGACAGAAAATAATTTGAGACGATGTGATAGGAATGTGTTACTAACACCAGCACACATTTCAACTTTTGTCACAAAATGATATTAATCAGTTTAAAATTAAATAATATTTAACCTTGAGCATAATAATTTCAAATATTTGTCACATAGAATTGATATTATTAAATTGCACTCAATTCTATAATAAAATTTAGATGAACAACTATAATGAAATGTATCTTTTGCAATATAAATTTCACTTTTTTTCCTAATATATTATATTCAATTATATTCGATGGTAATTTATTCCAATTATTTCCTAGTAATTGGAACAATCATTTAATGTATTTTGATAAAAATTTCAATCATTTCATACTTCAACATCTAACATATAAAAGATTTTTATTTTGAAATGCCTAGAACAAATGCATTAGCATATTTTATTGTTGACTTTAAATTAATCAAAAAAAATTTTTTTTTGTCTACTTTCAAATTTAGGAAAAAATTGAATTTAGAAAAATAAATAAATAGCCAGCATATTGAAGCAAAAATGTACTAAAATTGAATTGAACTGAACTATGCAATGAAAACTGAATATTAAATTATATTTATATAATATAAAAATTAATTTAAAAATAACATTGAGAATAAAGCAGTTCACAAAAAAAACTCATTTCAGGCATGTTACATTCGTAACATTTCATTTCTTATCATTTAATTAATTGGATTAATTTAAAACAAATAGTTTTTAGTTAGCTATAAATTTACAGGTAAATCTATTGGACATTTCTCCCCACAGAACATTACCGTAATGAAAAGTAAACAATAACTGTACAGCTATATGAACTGTAAAATAAAAGTAAATTTACAAAAAAAAAAAGAAAAAAATGATTCTCGATTCTCGACATAAAATTATCAGTTCAATTCAATGCTTTCATTTATAACATATAATTCGTAATTTCTTGAAAACAACCTCTTTTGGAGAATTTGCAATTGTATTGAATAAATTCTCTGTAAATAACTACTATAATCAAAATCAAAAAAACTTTCACCTTGTATAGTATGAAAAAAAGAAAATTCTTATAAAAGATTACTTTTTAGAAAAGCATATAATGAATGCCAAATTATTAAGCTATGATTTATTCAGAATAAGTTATACAAGTATGAATAGATATGATATGATCTATTTTGAATGATTCGAACTTCCAAATTTGCCATTTACATTGGTTTATTTGGATAATAATCAAATCACTGTTTAAAAAAAAAAAAAAAAAAACACACAAAACAATGTTTCAGTATAATTACATCCTTATTTTTCAGTTCATTAATTAATTTAATGACTATTTGCAAGATAACAAGTCTATAGTGATTGAAATTTTCGAAATTGTTCTAGTACTCTGATAGTTTATGCTTACTTTTGAGCGGAGCTGCATTTATCAATTTATTTGATATCTAATTATTTTGAATCTGATTTGTTCAATATTTTATTTCACGTTGATTTATTTGATATTTTTCAGATGTTAAAAGAGAGTAAAAGACAATTATGTATTCTTGTGTGTCATTAATTTAGTAACTTATTGCGTTAGCAAGTAAATAATATAATTGCATGCAATGCAAGCAATTTGTAGTTAGTTGATGGATGCTTTTCAGGAAAGTCCACCCTTTTGCATATGTGAATTGCTTGTTCGCTTTGCTCCATGCTTGCATCCATCTACCTGCTTGCTGCAGTTTTATCGATAAAATTAGCCTACCTTATTCATTCATCTAAGCATAAAAATGAGCCAACAAATCCATTGCAATCTCTCTCTCTCTGTCCATTTCACAGACTGAAAATGGCAAATTCTAATTCTAGCCAAGTTGATATGATTGTTCGATAAAGCAAAATGTAAGAAGCATAGCAGATCCTTTTATCCTTTTCCCTTGCAAAGCTTTCTCATTCAAGCAAGCTTCTATGATTAATGAAACATCAAACCAGGAAATAGTAGAGTGGCACTCTTCCTTCCAACCCAATATATTCATCCACCCACCCATCCATCCATCCATTTATCTATCTATCCATCTATCCATTTATGTACCCTTATTTATCTACTATCCCTGATCTATTTGCTGTCTGGTTGTGCAGTAGCACCTCCCTTACTGCAGCATGCAAATAGCACTAACTAAAAAGTCGCTAGCCTAGTATTGACAACAATTATAGCTCGTTCTCCAGCCTTCTATTCATGATGTAAGCGCTTATTTTCAGGCTTTCAGGCAGTCGTCGTCGTTGTTGTCGCCGTCAGTATGTGCCTCCTCCTCGTCCCTTTCTTGTGGTGTGTGGTTTTTTTTTTGTGATAATGGTGATTGTTTCGTGCATTCTCTCGGTATTTTCACTGGATAATTCAAAAATTTTGGTGAAAATGTGCACAAAAATGTCTGCTTTTGAATTCTATAATTTATATTCGGCTAGCCGGTGCAAGCTTTATTCGTAATTCCGCATTCCGTATTCCGCAGTCAATATATTGCGCTTTTACATTATTACTATTGGTGTATTCCTATTGTGAGCTGAAAAATTTACTGTTATTTGTGATTTTGCATTTTCTAGACATTATCTATTTTGGAGCTAAGTGATAGTGCATAAACATTTGATATTTTTTGTGAATTTCTAATTAGATTAGAAGGATTATTAGTAAATCCAAAGATATTCTATTGCTACCAAGCTCCTTGTTTATTATTACTAAATAATTACTACTAAATAATTCTACTTTAAAAATTATTAATTCTACTTAAAAATTGCTACAAAACATCTACCTGCAAAAATTCTATTCCTATAATTCATTTCTTATTTATGCATGCCTAAATGGTACATCATCAACAGCAAAATAAAAATAAACAACAACAATCGGGAAGTAAAATGAATGGTGATAGTATGATGAGTCGTTCGTCATCTACCGATAGTAATGGTTTCCCGGTGAAAGATGCTGACACTATCAAACTTTTTGTTGGACAAGTAAGTCCTCTTTCCGTTTTGTTGTTAAATACAAGAATATAGCCTTAAATGAACACTGAACTCAACCAATATTTGTCCATTTGGTGAATTTTTAATCAGTGACCAGATGTCCATCTGTCTATTATTACAGATAAAGCAGACATAACCATCTGACATCTTCTCTCTCACTTTAATGGTCAAGCTGTTAAACTAACTTTGCTTTTTTCAAAACAGGAAAAAATCAATACAAATTCTTCTTTGATCTAAAAATCAAATAATCTTTGTCCTTTTGTTCTTCCTTACATCCTCCAATCAAATCACTTTCCCTTTTCTCCAACATTCATCATTTGTCATATAGAAGAATCCATAGGGATAGAAATAAAACTTGCCAGTGCTAAAATAACATTGAAATTTATTTTTTTTTTCAAATACAAAATTTAATCTGAAATAAACTAAACAAGAATGAGATCTGTTTACAAATTTATGCAGACTACTGTAGAAAGGAGAAAAAGACGTGTGCCAATCATTTTTATTATGCATCAACCAATCAGCTTTCAATCCGCAAACTACATGTACTTCTTCATAAATGAATGAAATCATCGTCCCCCTTTTTTTTTTTTTTATGAAATTTTTTGATGATATGATTTGATATGTTCAGTTTAATTAACCGGAATAAATGATTTCGAGAATTCCCGATGAATAATTTCAGAATTGTGTTAAATGTTAAGTATTTTTCTCCTTTTAGCATACTTAAAATGTCATAGAAATAGTGTAAATCATTAAATAGCTTAACATATTGATAAATCAAAAGTTTTAATCTTATTTTTTTTAAAGAATATTATCATATCCATTTCATACTGCTACTACAATCATAACTGTAATGATTGAAATTCTGATTAAAATTAAATTTGTCAACACTAATAAATTTATCAATAATATTTTAACTCAAACAAGTTTGAAATAATTGAAATTTTGTACAATTGTGATTTCAAATAATAAAAAGCAATCATTTGAAAATTTTTTTTTATAATTTAAGCTATAATTATTGGAATATATCTGATACCATAAGCAAAGAAGCAATCAATAATTTTATTTGACCCTTTGGCAACAGCTCGATTCTTTTGTTGTACAAACATAATTTCATATAATAAAAATAATTTTATCTGAAATAAATGTGAAGACAGAGAGAAAAAGTTTTTTGAATAATTATTTAGGAAATGAAGTTTGTTTAATTTTCGAATGAAAGATTCTTTCATTTTTTTATTTCGAATAAAAGAGATGTTAAGAAATATTTGAATCTATAATTTTAGAATTTAATTAATTACATCAAGATTGAAATACAAATTTCTTACTTAAAAACTTTTTTACTGCTATCAACAGTTATCTTTCATAAATCTCTATAAAATTTTTTCAAAATTTTTTTTCAGATTCCACGCAATTTGGAAGAGAAAGATTTGAGACATTTGTTTGAAACTTTCGGCAAAATTTATGAATTTACAATTCTAAAAGATAAATACACGGGTTTACACAAAGGTTGTGCATTCCTAACGTACTGCCATCGTGACAGTGCCGTCAGATGTCAAGCTGCCTTACACGATCAGAAGACACTTCCAGGAGTTAGTTTTCATATTTATATAAAATTTCAACAATTATAAATTTGAAAAAACAAAAATCAAAAGATTGTTTTTTTAATATATTTGTTACAGTAGTATAGAAAAGTTCAGATATGATATATCTCTCTTATGTTTAATCATTTTGTGAATTATACTTTCGAATCTGTCATCAATATTTTCATTTCCAAACAATTGTTTTTTGATTTATAAGAGTGATTATTTTAGAATTAATTGCTGAAAATAGTATCCATATAAAAAGTAAGTAAATATGTAATTATATAAATCAAAGGTAGTTCATGATAATACTAATATCTTAAGCAAAATAGCACAATCAGAAAGTTTCTTGATCTGCAAAATATTTACATAAACATAAATATAAGTTATTCTTTCATCCAATAGCTCATAATTCTATAACCTTGTAAATTTTTTAAAAAAATAAATGAACAAATAATTCAAAATGTTGTCAAAAACATTTCAGAAATTTGATGATAGCTTTCAAACTTTCAGATAATGAACTCTTTCCAACTTATGACTTCTTATTAGTAATAATGATAGTTAGCATTACCCTGATGCTCATTATTACTGAAAGTTAAGGAAGTTGACAATTTTAATTAGTGACAGGTAGATAAAGCAATAATTTTTTTCATTACTTTCATTAAAATTACCTTTATTAAAGTACTTTCATTAAATAACCTTGTCAACAAGTAGTCATACATTACTGAAATGTTTTATTTCAAATAAGCATAAAATGAAGTTTAGATTTCAATAAATAGAAACAGAATGCTTCGTAATATGATTTTATAAAAAATACGAAATTAAGTCAAATACTGATCTTTTCGTGATATCGATCCTTTGATCACTGTATGGATACATGTGTGAATGAATGTCTTTGATAGTAAAGCAACTTAATTGAGAATAATTTCTTAGTTTTCTTCATTACTTAACAGTTGAGTAAACCGGAAATCTGGTAAATTCAAACATTTGTATCTTCCGGAAACTAAAAATTTAACTTTGCATTATGAAAAACGAAATTAAATGTCAGATTTGAAAATTTGAAACTTATTTGCATTACCTATCGAAAATTCCGTTGTCAGTCGTAAATTTGATAGGGAAAGAAGCTTAGAAAGAAGGATGCTGCTTAAACCAATCATTGAAAAGGTTTCGAAGTTCTTTTCTAGTTGGTTCGATTTAGGAATGAAATCCTTCCTCTCTTATCCTCTGCACTATAAAAGAACTGAACTTTCTTCTTTATCTCCCTCTCTCCCTCTCTCTCTCTCTCTCCCTGTCCCCTCTTCTCTTATATTTTCTTGAAATTCATTTTAGCTTTCTCTTCTTTTCTTTTCTCATTTTCATCTTCAATTTGAAAATTAGCCAAATGCTAGCAGTATTGGACCATTGCTTAACTTAGCTACAATCTTAGCTCCTATTGCCATCCCATTCATTTCATCACTGTGTCTTGCCGGTTATTTCTACCGGAAGCTAATTGATTCTGTGCTGCTTAACGTACAGTAGATTAAACAATGGAGCAAGACAAATAATCCATAATCATTGTGGCCAATAATTCATTAATTTGCTAGCACTCTTCTAAACAATGATTGCACTTCAGGCAAGTTTTTAAGTAAAAAATATTTGTGATATTTACTACTTTTCAAATTTATAGCTATTAATAGTCTTATTAACATTTGACTATGGTTTTTTTCTAAATTTTTTTATTTAATTTATATTTAATTTATATTTTTAATTGTTCTAATCTATTAGCTTCACGAATGAATGTTTAGAAGAATTCAAAGTATTACAATTTTCTAAAATATGCAAAAGTTTACATTGCAACTTTCAGAAAGATTGAATAAACCGATTTTTTTTTTGTTAATTTTTTTTTCTTTCAATAGCATTTTTTCCTTTTTCCTTTATTTCAAATTTTTTCAATAAAAATTTTCTTCAGTCTTCTAAAATCTCATATTAAGAAATTTCAAACATTTCAGTTTGATTCGTATTGCAAATAAAATTTACATTTTCTCTAAATCTTCATCTAATGAAATAAAAGTTTTTTTTTTCTTTTTTACACATAATTGTTTTTTTCAAAAAGCAGATTTGTTCAAAAAAAAAAAAAAAAAATTTGTAAACAATTTATAAAATTCAAAAAAGTTCCTTCAATAAACAAATTTAAAATGAAAATTTAAACTTATATCATTTAAATTTTTATTGTTTAATATATCAGAAGAAGAAGAAAGAAATTAATTCGCATAAATTTATAGTTGTAATTTGAAAAAAAAAAAAAAGATGTACTTTCAAGACATTCACATTTACATTCAATTTTAGATGAACCGAGCAATGCAGGTAAAACCGGCAGATAATGAAAGTCGTCCTGAATCACCAAAAAATGCTGAAGAGAGAAAGCTTTTTGTTGGAATGTTATCCAAACAACACAATGAAGACGATGTCCGTTCTTTATTTGCTCCTTTTGGTGTCATTGATGAGGTAAATTTCAAAAAAAAAATTTTCCTTTTTTTTTTTGTGAAAAAATTTGAATTGATAATTCATTATGATTACGAATTTGATAAATATCTTGAAGACTATTTTGTTAGAATTCTGCAAATGATTAATTTCAATTATTAAAAATTTAAAAGTATTTGTATGATTTCTATTTTTTTTTTTTTTTTTCAATTCAGTAAAGAAAGGTTTACAATATGAAAGAAAATTTTCTTCCAAAGTAAACTTATATCATCAATTGCTGGATAATAAATTTTGTCCATGAGATAGAGATAAACATTAGTAGTAGCTAACAAGTAATCATTTTCAATTCACTGAATACAAAGAGAAAGGTGAAGAGAGAGAGAGAGAGAGAGAGAGAGAGAGGGAGAAAAAAAGATGATTGAATCTTTGCATTCCTTTTTTTGAATTCCTCAGATTCTCTTTTCCTAGGCTTCTAACATTTTTCTTCATTTTCTCTTCTTACATACTTCTCTAGCAAAAAAAAAAAAAAAAAAGAATAAACAAATTACTTTTCTCTTTTTGGTTCTTCCTCATCATCTATTATTGTCATCTCCTCTTTTTCCAAATTGCATCATTTCTGGCTAAAGTCGATAATTTTCTTTAAATCTTATTCCTTCTCATTTCTTTTTAACTCATTGTTTATTGATTTACGACAAATTTTATTCTTCTTTACTTTCCATTTGTTTGAAATGCTCTGTAACAATTTCTAAATTTCAATTTTTTCTTTTTTTCTTAATGTATTTCTTTTTTTTTTTGCACTGAAATTATAGCACACTGAATTGATTTGTTCAAATTATATATTCCAATTTACCTTCTCAGTGATCAGAAAAAAAAAATAAAGAAAAAATTAGTTATTTATAATTTTTCTCTATTAGAATGACACTATTACTACTACAACTGGTCATTTTCATTGCTTAAAATTTTAAATTCTGTTTATCGTTAACAAGAATTTAAAAAAATTTATTCAATAAGATTGCAAAAATTACATCCATTTTCAAAGATTTAAAAAAAAGAAAGAATATTTTATGAAATTTGAGGTGACCGTACTTCGAGGTGCTGATGGTCTATCAAAAGGATGTGCATTTGTTAAATTTGCGACACATTCACAAGCTGCTATGGCAATTAACGCTCTCCATGGTAGTCAAACGATGCCAGGTGCTTCCTCATCATTGGTCGTCAAATTCGCTGATACAGAAAAAGAGCGACAATTACGCCGAATGCAGCAAATGGCTGCTCAAATGGGTCTATTAAATCCGGTACTTGTTAATCAAGCGGGCGTTTATAATACCGCATATCAACAGGTTCGTAAATATAGCCAAGATAAAATTAAACTACAGTCTTAATTAGAATTAAACTACAACCTTAATTAATTGTTTAATTTCAATTGTAAAGTATATTTAGAAATAAAGTAAAAGATTAGAATAGATTTGAATAACTGAGATATTTGCTAATGTTTCATATAAATTTGGCTAATTAATCCCTGAGGAAAACACATCTATATTATTCTAAAAAATTTACATTTGGTCTTATTTTCATAGAAAATTGTTAGCAGAAATTTGAACTCAAAAATATTTTAATTCATAAAATTTCAGCTACTACAACAGCAAGCTACACTTGTAGCAGCGCAAACAGCTGCAGCTGCTTATTTTCCGGTTGCTATGGCACCACAAACAGCGGTAGGTTTTTGTTTTTTTTTTTTTTTTTTTTTTTTGGAGAAAATTATGCATGCAATTGTGTGTGTAAGCTATCATCGATTATTCCTCAACTTACCCATATATTTTGTCAATTTTTCAACTTACCCACGTTTTTTTTTTGTCAGTTTCTCAGTTCAATTCATTACAAAAATTCAGTGCTTGTTTACTATGATCAATTTATAGCAGTATAACAATATTTGTTCATGCAGCGTCTGATATTTTAATTGTATGTTTGGCCTAAATTAATAGATTGAAAATTTGTTCAATGTTACATTTTAAATGACCGTAACATCTGCTCCAGCTAATATCATCTGTCCTCTCATTAGATGTGCGTGTGTGTGTGTGTGTAATGAATAATTTAAATAATGTAGAAGGATTGATCGAGAAGAATGAACTAATTTAGATGAAGAATAGAGAGAGAGGGATGAAAAAGAGAGGGAAAAAGCCATGAAAGAGAGAGAGAGAGAGAATTGATAATACTAGTAATGATAGGTAGATAGGTTCAATTATAATCATTAAGATGAATGACAGATATGAAAAATGCAGCATTTGGCTATTTTGAGAAGTGCCATCTTTGCAAATGCACTTATCTCTGTCTCGTCAGAGACATTTTTTTTTTTAATTAACCGCAAGGGAATGAAATAAGAAGGAAGAGGAGAAGGAAAAATGAAAAAGTTATAAAATATAATTTTGAATTTCTTATTCTTTCTCTCTTTCCATTCTTTACTTATTTCTTTTGTTATCTTTAGATCATCATCCACAATTTTAGCTAACAGCAGCAGGATTAGCCGGAACAACAAATCCGGCAACATTCCTGACACAACATCCGTTACAGCCACTCTCAGCACTTCCACTACAGCAAGCTAATTCTGTTCAAGCAATTTCCGCATTATCACAACCTTATGCACCCGTTGATTATGCTGCAGCTGCAGCTGCAAGTGTTACACAATATGCACGTAAGTTTATCATTATGTTATATAGAAAAACAAAATAAATTATATTCACGTAAAACGTAACTTGTATTCACGTGAATCATTAATACTTATTGCTATCTGATGATTATCTTTATTAATTAGAATTATTTGTAATAGATACTTTTTCCTAACTCAAACATAGCAAATTTGCAGCTTCAAGCACTGCAGCAGCAGTAGCTGTTGATTCGACAGCGTACACGCTACCAGCTAGCGGAACATTACCTGCCGGAACAATATCTACGGTAACGCTGCCTTCCGCTTACAATCCTTTGGTCAGTCTTGAACAGCAAGCAAGTAAGAATGCATTTATGGATGTATGAATTAAAAGGAATTAACCTAATGCTAAGTGAATAAATTAATGATTATCTTTATTAATTACATGGTAAAAAAAATATATTAAGGAAATGTAAAATTACTTAGTTACAGAATACTAAATATATTATTGTCTTTTAATTAGAAAAAAAATTTATCTTGAAATTGTGTTTTTTCTTTCTTTTTATAGATCCATACAATCAAGCTTTGCAACAAGCAATTGCCCTTCAGCAAGCAGCTATTCTTTTTCCAGGAGCGCAAAAAGAAGGTATGAATTTGGTCTATTATCAATGATAAATAAAAATATTTATTTCATTGCTAGAAATTAAATATTAAATAAATTATTAATTGAAACTGTGCAAAAACATATGAAATAGGAACATTTGTGTTTGAGTAGTAAGTAAAATATTATTTTCTCGGATATTTTGGTTAGAAAATGATTAGATTTAAAGCTTAAATACTGAAATATTTATACTCTGCTTTCTCAATCAAATTTTAACTTTCTTTTGAGAAAAATTTCAGCTATGAAAAACTTTTAAGATTCGTGAAATATTGTTTTATCTAACATTTTTGCAAAAAAAAAAAAGAGTTACGGAAATAATCAATCATAGAAAATCTAATTTTATTAAATTTTTGGCATGCAAAATTTTTGCAACGATTTTTTTCATCTTTATTAAGTAGAATGTGCAAAAAAAAAAAAAAAAATGACACTTAAAAATTTTTGTTGATGAATAAAGAGTATGTGAAAATTTGCGCTTTTCATTCGTATAGAAATTTAATTTTGTCATATTTTTGCTTTGCTTGTTCAGTTAGCTTCGTTAGCATCTGCTTGCACTATATCGATTTGCAATTTTCTCTCCTGGCGCAAACAACAACCACTATATTTAGTTATTGAAAATAATGAGAATGAGAAATGATAAAAGCAATCTCCGGAATTAATTCCTATTTCAATCCTGAATCCTTCTCCCTAATACCTATTTATGTTGTGTTTCTGCTTTTACTAAAAATTTTCTCACTGCTCTTTGTTTAACATTTATTTTTAATGCATTATTTGAAAAATATAAATATAAACTTTTCTTCAAAAGAAATATAAACTTTTCTTCAAATCTATTTTATTTCACATATACTTTCATATTGTTTTTTTTTTTTTCTCCATTATTTGCTTATAAAATATCAAATCATAATTTGAAATCTTCTTAATGTATCATGCAATTTTTGATAATTAAAATTTTACTGATCATTAAATTTATTTCATGCTAAATTATTCAAATAAACGAATATTTAAATGGCTTCTTTTTAGTTTTGGGTCCAGAAGGATGCAATTTATTCATCTATCATTTACCGCAAGAATTCGGTGATGCTGAACTAATGCAAATGTTTATGCCTTTTGGGCATGTGATAAGCGCTAAAGTTTTCATTGATAGGGCAACCAATCAGAGTAAATGCTTCGGTGAGTTTACTTTTCTTTTTTTGTTTTTTGTTTTCGTTTTTGTTTTTGTTTTTGCTTAAATATTCACATTTTAGCAAAATTCATCGATTCATAAAATGTATATAGTACGTAACTTCATTGTATCTTACTAATTAGGTTGCATGCGGACGTCAATATTTAGGTAATAGTTGAATGTGTATCACGTGAATAATTAATGAATTAAAATTTCACATTAATACAACCATCACAATGATTTATATCACTAAAATAGTAACGGTGTTACAGTAAGATAGTAATCTTGGCACTGTAATACAGTACCGTCCTATCAATTCAGGTTTCGTCTCCTACGACAATACCGCCTCAGCAATGGCAGCAATTCAGGCAATGAATGGCTTCCAAATTGGCATGAAACGACTCAAAGTGCAATTGAAACGACCTAGAGATAAACCGTACTGAGCAAAAATGAATATAGTTCAAAAAAAAAAAAAACAAAATTTAAAAAAAAGGAGTTTGTGTTGTCAAGTCATGAGAAGAGACTTTTGTCGTGTCTCGTTATGTTTTTGTCTTCTTTAGTCAATCACAAAAAAAAAAAATTTCGTCGCATATTTTCTAAATAATCGTTCATTTGTTTGTGTTCTGCTTGGATATCGTTTTGTTTTTCTGGACAATTTGAAGTAATATTTTTCGTTTAGTTTCATTTTTTTTTTTTTTTTTTTACAATTTGCGCTGCTTCTTATTATCAAATTGATATGTTCTCGAGGAAAGCATTATTAGTGATACAATTTTCAAAATTGATAAGCTTGACAAATTTCATATCAAAATTTTTGCAATTTATTTCAACATAATAATCTACCAAAGCAAAATTCCAAAATTTACATTTATCAAAAAAAAGAAGAGAGAGAGAGAGAGAGAAAGAAAAAAGTAAAAATTTTTAACAATTATGATAATTAAGTGTTATTTAATTGACGAGACATAATCACAAAGCTTTGCTATCACTATTTACCTTTGCTAATAAGCGAAATAATTAATTGGTATTAAATATGATTGTGGTGTATGTATAGTAAATTTGATATGCATGTTTTCTTAATATTAAATTTTATTTGTTGTTATATGTTGTGAAAGTTGTCCCATATCATTATTTATCATATCCATTGATCTTCTAAAAACAATTTGATCATCAAAATGGAACCATGATGGCAATTATCTCAGACAACTAACTAAACCTATCCTATTGTTCAATTTTGGATATTTATATTAAAGTTATCCTTGTTTGTAAGATTATCTTATCAATTTCTTACCTACAACAAGCTTTTCATCGTCTATTTTTCATTCATAGCTTTTTTTTTTGTTTCTTTTTCTTTTTTTTTTTTTAAAAAAAAATATTATTGTGATGTTTTTGCTATAATTGTGATTGTTTTTGCAGAATAAGAGAAATGAATGAAGAGTGAGCATTATTAATTCTTTTTCTTTTTTGGTTAATTTAAATTTGTCAACTTTTATTTAATTATTTTTTTTTGTTTTAATGCTGAATGACAAAAGTTTATAAAAAAAAAAAAAACAAAAAATATTTATGTTTTATTTCAATTTTGCTCTCTCTCTCTCTCTCTTTTCTCAATTCCTTTTCTTAAATCTGCAAATTAGAGATTGTGTAACAGTGGTAAGTAATGTTGTGACAGCTAAAAAAAAAAAAAAAAGAAGAAGAGAAAATTTTTGTTTTTTAATGAAACCAGTAATGTTAATTCCGATGCAAACAACAAAATGCAAATCCTGAATTCCGGATCTGAAGTACAAAAAAAAAAAAAAAATACATCAACGAATTTTTGGTGGAATTCTTTCTATCTCATTGTCGCACTAACGCACACACTCTCTATTTTTGATCACTGAAAAAAGGTGTGACACCTTTTGCACGACCTCCCGTTTTTATATCTTTGTTTGATATTATATTGCATGCTAATTATTTTTGAACAAAAAAATCTTTTTCAAAATTTTAATTTACTATTCAATTTCTGCATATTTCAAAAAAAATTTTTAAATTTATAATGCTCAGTGGTTTTTTTTTTCTTTTCTAGAAAGCCAGAGCTTAGCTTATTTGTTACTTTGAGAAGAAAAGAAAATTAGCAAATTTTTTCAATCAATTTCATTTTCAAATTATATTTTTTCACATAATATTAAGAATATGCAGAGGTTTTCTTTTCAATAATGTAAAAAAGAAAAAGAAAGAATTAAATTTTTTTTAACAAAAATTTTTCATTTCATTTCATAATTTTCATTTTTTTTTTTTCAGATTCAATGAATGATAAGCTCAAGTATAATTCTATTTCGATTTTAATTTACTTCATGAAACATTCCATTGGTGTACAGGAATCTCATATTTTCTCCCAAAAAATGATAGAACTTTTGGCGAAATGCGATAGTTCGATAACTGAATTTTGTCATAAAAGTACCGTAATATCTTAACATTTATAAAAGAATCAATCATTTTTCAATATTAAATTTGTCCCAGTGCTATTTTTAAAATTATTTATTATTGGTCTTTTGTCTGTGATCTCACTTTTTTTTTTCAATTTTGTCAGGTTACAATTTTTTTTTCCTTTTTTCAGTAATTTTAATAGTATCAGTAATTTAAGCAAACAAATAGCATTTAGTATAAATCAATTTAAAATTTCTTATAATTCTGTTTTGAAAATTTTAATCTATTAAAATTATAAATGATTAATAATTACCAGTTGATAAGAAATGATAATTTGAAAACAAAATAAATACTTAGTTATAGAAAGTAGGAATTAAAATATTTAACATAAATATTTTCCTCATCCAAAAATTTTATCCAAAACGATTTCTTTTTTTTTCTCTCTCTCTCTCCCTCTCTCTCTCGCTTTTACTCTCTTATTTTCCCTTTTAATATTTTCTATCTAATTTTGCTCATATTATTTCATTCATATACTAAATTTTGTTATATATGAAATTAATTTTCAATAAATAATTTCCTTTCCTCTTGAAGAACTATAATTTTGGAATGTATTTTCTCATAATTAGCAAAGAAAAATGTCATTCTTAAATTAAATTTTCAACTTTTTTGCTATAATTTCAGAATTTCATTTTTTTTTTATTTAATTAGTAATTAAGCATTTTATTAAAATGAATCATTAAATGCTTATCGTACTTTGCTTTTACATTCGTTTATTTAAGCATCTAAAAGTAATTTATTAAAATTTACATTTATAAAAAATGGTTCTTCTTGGGAATTCCATTGTTTTTGTTATAGAATTGTGTAAATTAATTCATTTCATTTCATTTCAATTCTTTTTTTTTAATTTTGTATTTAAATGATCGTGAATTTTAGTGTCATATAAACAAACTATTTAAGCTATCAGTTATGCTTTCCTTTTTTACAGTACTGTTTTTTTTTTTTTTTTTTTGATATAAATTATTGCTATTTTGCTTAAGCTATAATTATTGAACGATGAAAATGTGGACATGAAAATATTTTTATTAATTAATACAAATGTTCATTTTTCTCTAAATGATATTATAAGTTCAGAATTTCATTAAAATTCAAAATCTCACTAAAAATTTTTTAAAATTCGTCATTAAAATTCAAAGTAGATATACATATATTTTTGATAACAATATTTAAATAATATTTAAAAAAAGAAACAATAAGTAACATTTAAATGAGTACAAAAATCATACATAAATGTTAATCAATTAGTTATGAAAGATTTTTTATTGAAATTGTTAAATTAAAAAGTAATATAATTTTTTTTTTTATGAAAAATGTTGCATAATCTTTTCATGTTCAATAACAATTCTGTTGCTATTTTATCTTATTGTCATATTGTAATATCATTTGGTTTATTTATTGTAGTAGTTGTTTTGTCCATTTGCTATTGTAATATTATTGTGTTATTTTTGTTTATTTGTTGTCGTAACATTTCTTGTATTTATTTTACCAATATTAAAATCAATTTTCGACTATGATATTAATATTTTGCGGGTTAATTGAGCTACTAATAATTATTGAATTTTATGACATTGTAAAAAAGATTTAAAAACTTTTTTAATTTTTTATTATTTTAGATAATAATTGAAGTGAGCTATTTCTTTTTTTTTTTGCTTAAAAATTATTTAATTTATTTTATAGATTAAAAATTTTACTACATTTTATTTTTATACTATTAATATATTACTGACTCAGTGATAATTACAATATTTACACATTTTTATTACTCTAGTACTAGAAATATTAAATTAAAGGTAATAATTACTGATATGTTTTCATAAATTCAGACTAAATTATTTTCAAATTTATTTATTTATTTATTTTTCTTAAATTTTAAATTATCTACAACGAGCCATTAACAGAACATCACATAAGAAATTAATTTTCTGTGTTTATTTCATAAAATTGTTTTACTTTCTTGTATTGTTACACAAAATTTTCATAGCTTTTGTGATGTTTGGCATAAAATTGATTTGTTTTTTTTTTTTAAATTGTTCAAATGTTTACTTATTTATTTTACTAAAATATATTTTAATTATGAAGTCATGCTGCATTGATCTCAGATGTGTACAGATTTTTTTTTTTTAATTCGTTCTTTCTTTTGCTTAATTTAATTATTCTATAATTTTTTTTTTAACTCATTACTTTTTCTTTTTTTTTTTTTGCAATTTAAACTTCTTATAATCATTCTTTTCTTTTCCTTTTTCTGTCTAATTTATTACATTTTTTTTTTTAAAATATATTTGTAATACTTGTCGAGATATGTCTTTTTTTTTTTTGAAATTTAATTTAATTTGAAAATAAAATATTTTCGTTTCAAAAATACAAAGCAATGACAACAAAAATTATTCGAAATAATGAAAATTTATGGTTTAATGAATTATATTTAGCTGAAAATTTGAAATAGTGTAAACAAATAATTAAACAATTTTTATTTACAATATAACAAATATATATAATTAAACATTTTTATTATAACAAATAATTAAACATTGTTATTTAATAATAGTAAAAAAAAAGTAATACAAATAACAAATAATTAAACATTTTTTATATTTATTAAAAAAAATTAAAAAAAAAAAAACCAAATTCCGGAAAATTTATTTTCCGATAATCAATTCAATCAGTATCTAACAATAAAATTGTTATTATTGTTATGCTTAACAGAGAATAGACACACATTTGTCATTATTTCCACGTGATTTAAATTTTAAAATTTATGATTCTATTGATTGAAATATTTGAAAAAAAAAAAAGAAAAATGTGTCAAAGTTGTCTTTCAATAACTTCAATGATTCACAGTGACAAAACTTTGCCATAAAGCCTATCTGTCTCTTTTCGTTTCACTTCCCTCTTCTATTTGTGATAAAAAATTTTCATCAAACTTTTCAAATAAATATTTCAATACCAACTTACTTACTTATAGCTATTGATAAATGATAAATTGATGATAAAATTTCATGATAAAGTCTCATTGATAAAATTTACAAATTGCAATAACATTTTAAGCAAATGGAAATGAGTAATTTAATTATTCAAAATAAACCATAATTTCATTACAAATCATAAAACTGAATGACGAAAGAGAGAAAAGATTGTTGACAATCCTTTCTTTGCTTCATTCAGGCGTTATTGTCGCTGTTGTTATTTATATTGACATGTCCTCTGTCACCATTCATCCCTCTTCTCTGTCACCATTTCTTGACTGTTAGCAAGTGTAAGAAGACAGAGGAAGAGGACATAAAAGCATTGATGTCAACATATATACTAACCCTTACCTGTCTGCTTCTATAGGTATATGTACCTGATCGATTCACTCTTGATTGAATTTACTGCAGGTAGAAGGTTATCAGAGACAACAGGTAGCAGCAATTTTACCTTTCTCATTTGCTTCTATCTTTTTTTAATCGATTTTTTTTTTTTGTTTATTTTTTGTTTTCATTTTTTTCAACGCCATATTCGTTTTTAATGTTAAATAATGCTGCTATAATAACATTTACATTGTTTTGTTTTTTCCAACTTATCTTTTATAATAAAATTATTAGAAAATAGAAAACACCTGGAATAATTCATTTAATATAATCAAAAATACTTATTGCAAAATTTTGAAAAAAAAATTGAAAGAATTTTAATTAGAATTGCGAAGTTATGAAGTGTTATTTTCAGTGATTAAATAAGCTTTATATTAACTTTAAGCTTTTTTTTTTTTTAAGTTTAAATTATTTACAAATGAAAAAATTAGATATCATTCATGCTAATTAGTATTAAGCAAATTTACGAAATGCCTAATAATTTTAAAATTTATAAATATAAAAGAAAAGATTTTCTTGAAAAAAAAAAAGAAATTTCACTTAAAATTTGCCAGATATTATTTAGAAATATATTTAATATATAGGATTTTTCATTCTTATTAAAAAGTTGAAATTAATTTGGACTGCTGATGATAACATTTGAAATTCGAAACCTTTTCTTTTCTTTTCTTTTTTCCTTTTAACATTTTCTCTTTGCATTTATAACTTTTTTCTTTCTTACAAATTATATTTATCATCGATTTATATATTATTTTCCATGAAAATTTTGAAAATTTTAAGTAATAAAATGGAATTTTTTTAAATTTAATTATTTTTTCGATAAAACATCAACGAAAAAAGAAAAGAAAAAAGGAAATCAATAATGAATGGTCAATTTGAACGAATGATAAATCTGACAAGAGAAGAATGCAAGGATGGTATTATCATATCAGCTATATCAATTTCCTTATCAAATAGTATTCTATATTTTCTTGCATTGTTATATTGCTTCTTAGGTACTGCAATTGTTGCAGATATTTTTATGTGTTCCATAGAAAGAATTACCTCATCAACAAGGTTAGTTTAATTAAATTATCAGCAAAAAAAAAAAAAAAAAGATATTAATTATTTAAATATTTTACATTAAAGAACTTTTAAAAAATTATTAATAAAAAAAACAGTTTTTAGGAATTATTTTGATAAATGATAAGTGATAAGTATTTATACTAGTGCATAAATAAGTATATTAGATAAATGATAAGATAATTTGATAAATGAATTTAAGGAAGGTTAAATTAAAACACTCAATAAGAAATGATTCAATGAATGAAACTGTTGATGAAGGTGTAAAAGTACGGATTTGGAATCCAACTGTAGCAAATTTAAGTTTAATGGTATGTTTTTTTTTTTTTTAATTTATAACTTTTATATTTATCATTAAATCTTAAAAAAAAATTTATATTTATTATTAAATTTGTAAATATAACTGTAAAAAAAACAATAACATTGAATGAAAATTTATAAAATTGAAAATAAACAATGAAAATTTATAAAATTCATCAAAATATTTGCCTTCGTTTTCAGCTTTTTTTTGTATTTTAATATTTTATTTATTTAATTTGCAAAAAAAAATTACATTATTTAGGCATTGGGAAGCAGTGCACCAGAAATTTTACTTTCAATAATTGAAATTACAGCTAATCATTTTCAAATTGGTGAACTTGGACCTGGCACTATTATTGGTTTGTTTGTTTGTTTGTTGTTTTCTTAAAGTGTAAAATTTTCAAAAACAATTATTTTTAATGAAATATATTTGCATGAAGTAAGTCTGAAAATGATTGAAATCTGGGAAGCACTTTTTTTTTTTCTTTGCAGATTTAAGTAAATTTTTTTTTTTTAATCTAAAATTTTTACTTTCTTTAATTTTTGTAGAGAGACAATAACTAAGATAAAATGTATAATTAAAATGTCGAATATGTAAACTTTATTAGTTTACAGGTTTATTAATTTTTTTTTTAAACTTTATTAGTTAGTTTTTAATTTTATTAATTGGTTTATTAGTTTAACAGTTTTTTTCTTTAACTTTACTAATTAGTTTTTAATTTTATTAATTAATTTACAGGTTCAGCAGCATTTAATTTATTATGTATCACAGCTGTATGTGTCATAGCTGTGTCATCACCAACAGTTAAACGAATTCAAGAGAAATTCGTTTTTGCTACAACAACATTATTTAGCTGTTTGGCATATATCTGGCTTTTAATTGTATGAATTTAATTTCCTTTTAAAACTATCTTTTCTTCTTATTTAAACTCTTTTGTGATAGATTTTCCAGTCTTTAATTAAATTACCTAAGTAGGTAATTAATTAAAGATTAACAATATGCTTAATTATTGATGATTTATTAGCATGCTGATAACAATAGTTTGTATAAATAAATTTGTTAAAAGATACTTATTTAATTTACATTCCTGATTGAAGTATTATTTTTCCGGAACGACAAATCAACAAGACGAAATAATATTTTTCAATAATTGTTGCTATTTTTTAAATTATAATTTTGAAAAAAAAATTTTTTTGAAACTTTATTGCAGATATTGATTGTGATATCACCGAATATTGTAGAATTATGGGAAGCAGTAGTGACATTTGGTCTTTTCTTTGTTTTAATAATTGTCGCATACTTGATGGATATTAAAATTTGGAGAAATAACAAAGCTCACCAAAACGAGGAATATCAAATTGATGATACAGATGATGAGAAATATAAAGATGACGATATTGATAAATATCTTAGAAAATTTGCTAGCGAAATGGAATTCGAAAATAATATGGTATTTATTGTTAACTAATCTCTGAAAGTGTTTTTTTTTTTTTTTTTTTTTATTTAGAAATCTTTAAAATAACATTTTGTTAAAATTGTTATACATGAAATAAAAATAGTTTAGATTTAATTTGCTAGTTTAAACTTTTGAAAGGATGTAATTTTGATTGCTTTTTAAAAGTTTAGATTAATTTTATCATCATCATTTTATGATATTTGGCTTTTAATTTTAAAAAAAAATTTTTTTTAAATTAAGAATATGATGAGATGAAATAATTGAAACAATTAATTTCGTTTTAAAATTTTTAATATCATTTTCAGGTTAAAGCAATGAATGAAGTAAGCAATCATAAAGCATTACGTTATATATTACGATGGATTTCACGAGTTTATCCTGACCTTTCACCTCATGAACAATCCAAATTATTAGCTTCCAAATTAAGATATATGCAGGTATTTTGTTATTTCATATATTTTTCATAATTAATTTAATTGTTTGATTTATAGAGTGAACTAGGAATTAAGAATATGATGAGATGAATGTTTTATCTTATTATTTAGATCAATTAATTAATTACTGATCAGTTCAAAAATTGTTGTATTAATTGTATCTAATAGTAATCTTTATTTCAGTAAGACGCAAGATTATGACTTGTTTAATTTCAATTTTAAGTTACTCTGATAAAAAATGTAATCAGTTTTATGACTTATTTAATTTCAATTTTAAGTTACTCTGATAAAAAATGTAATCAGTTTTATGACTTATTTAATTTCAATTTTAAGTTACTCTGATAAAAAATGTAATCAGTTTTATGACTTATTTAATTTCAATTTTAAGTTACTCTGATAAAAAATGTAATCAGTTTTATGACTTATTCAATTTCAATTTTAAGTAACTGATATGATCAATTTTTAGACTCATAGTCGTTTCTGGTATCGCCTTCAAGTGATACGAAAATTAACTGCTTCCATTCGAAAAATAGATTTGAAATGGAATTCCAAAAAAATGCTGGAAGAAGCTGACAGAGTAAAAAAAGCATCAGAAAGTGAATTCTTATATTTTTTCCAAAAATTCAAAATGCATTTTATTATCATATATTGTCCTTAAGTAATTTAATCTTTGAGTTACAGTTGGTGAAACGATAGAATTTTCTGCTCGCGTATATTCAATTGCTAAAGAAAGCACTAAAGTTATGCTAAGAGTAAGTTTACTGCCTTATAATATAATTAATTTTATTAAGTATGATTAGTTGTCATCAAAATTGGTGACAAAACGTCTGTCAAAAAGTTTGATATACTTCTGATATACTTACTACTACTATCTGATTAGCATCACTTAATAAAATACTAAAATGTCACAAAACCATGACAGAACTTACATTTATGAAAATATCTGACTGAGAAGATTTAAGTTTTTGTAAAGTTTATTTAAAATTTTTTTTTGCAGATTATTCGACATGAGCCAACCAATAAAACAATTGCATTTCACTATTCGACAAAAAATGGTTTAGCCAAAAAAGATGTTCATTTTCTATCAAAATCAGAAACTGTAAGTAAAATGTTTTTTTGAAAAATTACAAATATTGTTTGAATTACAATAAAATACATTGTATTTTATTAAATAATTTATTTTCTTAGAACAAATTTATGAAATTTGTATTAAATGAAATTCTAATTCATTTAAAAATTTCAAATTAACAAAAATTAGTATTATTTTAGGTACAATTTAAATCAGGTGAAAAGATCAAAGAAATTTACATAGATTTGGTCGAAGGTGCAATATGGCAAATTGGTGATATCTTCTACGTTCGTTTGAAATTGGTAGGAAATTTTATAGGTAGGATTAATTTTTTAGCAATATAATTTCTCGTTCTAGAAACGATTTAAAATAATATTAAAATAATATTCTATATAGTGGTTTTGAGCAATTCAGTGATTTTATTTGTTGCAAAATTAACAATTACTAATATTTATTCATAATCTTAAAAATTTTTATTATTACTTTCAAAGAATTTCAAACTTTTTAAAGCTATAGATATATCAATAGTTGTAGTTGATTAATTTGTTTTAAATTTTAAATTTGATTAATTTATAGCTTGAAAGTGATCAAAAAAATATAATTGGAGAGATAAATGTTGCAAGAGTTCAATTCATTGATAATTCTTCAACTTTAATCACTAAACCAGTCGTACAATTTGTCAAAAATAATTATGTAAGACTTTTTTTTTTTTTCGAGAATTGTTTAAAAAACTAAAAATTATAAAAAAAAAAAAAAAAAACTATAAAAAAGACAGTTGATTAATTCATTTATAAATTTCTTATTTTAGATTGTGAAAGAAAATCAAAAATATGTACGAGCTTTTGTCACCTGTGTTGGTTATCATAATGAATGCAAATTATTCAATGTATATTATGAAACAGAAGCTGTCACAGCTAAATGTGACAAAGATTATAAAGGAATTAGTAATGGTATATTAACATTTATGAATAATGAATATGAGAAATATATCGATGTAAGAATATATGATGATATGAATGAAGAAAAAGATGAAACATTTAATATACATTTGATCGCTTCATCAGCGGATGGTAAATGATATTAATTAGTAATTTTATTTTTTTTTTTTCATTAATTTAACAAAAGAAAAAAAAATACATTTGTTTATATATTCATTGTAATAAAATTTACATTTTGTACAATTCTTAAAATAATTAAATTTAGTAATTAAAATTGAAATAATTTAAAATAATTAAAATAATCTTAAAAAAACTTTTTTTTTTCTCAGATGTAACAATTGGGCCAAATAAATGTGCTGTAATTACAATTATATGTGATGATAATGTATTAAAAAATATGATGAATATACGAAAATTAACATCATATTACTTTAAGCAAGCAACATATAAATCTAATACATGGCTAGAACATGTAAGTTTCTTTTTTTTAAATATATATCAGTTATTTAAGTATATAAGTTTAATAGATCGATTATATGCCAATTATTTAAACATATAAGTTTAATAGATCAACCATACATCAATTATTTAAATATTAAAGTTTAATAGATCAATCATATATCAGTTATTTAAATATGCAAGTTTAATAGATCAATCATATATCAATTATTTAAATATATAAGTTTAATAGTCAATCTTATATCAATTATTTAAATATTAAAGTTTAATAGATCAATTATCAAAGATTATTTCATAAAATTATTTTCAATAAATTATATAATCTTCAATTGTTATATTTTATGCAATTCGATTATGCTAATTTTCATTCCAATGAGATAATTTTTTAGCTTATTCAAGCGACAAGTGTTAATGCTGGTGATATTGAGAATGCAACATTGATAGATTGTATCCTTCATATTTTATCATTTCCATGGAAAGTTATAGCTGCGTTAATACCGCCGATCACAATTCTCGGCGGATGGTTATCCTTCTTTTGTGCGCTAATTGTAATTGGCTTTATCACTGCTATCATAGGTTAATTTTGTTAATTACTTTAATTTTTGATTTTTTCTTTTGTTAATTACACTAATTATTTTGCAAATTTTAGGTTAATCGTTTTTTTTTTTTTTTTTTTTTATTCTTAAATACTATTACTTTTGTACAGTGATAAAATTTTTTGAGAAAATTTCTTTTTGAAAGAAATCAATTTTGTAAAATTATAAATTCAGGTGATCTAGCGAGCATACTTGGTTGTATGATTGGTTTAAAAGATGCTATTACAGCAATAACTTTAGTTGCATTAGGTACCAGTTTACCGGATACATTTGCATCAAAAATTGCAGCTGAAAATGTATGTTTTAATTACTTTTTAAATTTTCATTTACAACATTTACAATTCACTTAATCAGTTCATTTAGTATATTTCTATTGACTTATTATCAATATAATACATACCTTGAATTTTTCATCATACTGTTATGACAAAGTAATTTAACTAACATTCCTTCTAGTAAATGTAATTATTTGTACAAAATTGTGAAAAAAAAATTTTTTTCTTCAATGATTAATTTATCAAAAAGTCAATCTCTTGAATATGTACGTATTTTTTTCTTTTTTTTTTTTTCTTACATTATTTCAGTTGAAATTTTAAAAAACATTTAGGATGCCACAGCTGATAATGCCATCGGTAATATAACAGGTTCTAATGCAGTAAATGTATTCCTTGGACTTGGCTTACCATGGACTATTGCTGCTATATATTGGTCCACTAAAAATGAGCCATTTATTGTTAATGCTGGCAACTTAGGCTTCAGGTTCTTGTATAATTTTATTAGTTTAAGTTGTGTAATTTTATTAGTACAACTTAAACTAACGTACGCTATAACCTCTTTTTTTCATAAAGTTAAAAAAAAAAAAAAAAAAACTAACGTGCGCTATAACCTCTTTAGTTCAGAAATTAAAAAAAATTGTATGAATTATTACCTTTAACCTATTATCATAATTTATAAAATTCAAATTTGCTCATATTATTCCTATCATAATAATTTTAGTGTTGCAATATTCATGGCTACATCTGTAATTTGCATACTATTGCTAATAGCTCGAAGAATTTTGGCATTTTTTGGAAAAGGAGAACTTGGAGGTCCAATAGGACCAAAAATTCTCAGTGCTTTGATTCTCATTATTCTTTGGTTAAGTTATATATTGTTATCAACTTTACAGACCTATAATTACATTTCTGTTTAATACAGTTATGCAATATTCTAATGAATCACTTTGAAAATTGAAGAATTCACTTTTGTAGCTTTTTTTTTCTAAAAAATTTAGCAAAAAAAAAAGAAAAGATAAAAACAGTTGATTAAATTAAGATGTATTGCAGTAATTATCATTTCATTGGTCAATTTGAAATCAGTAATGTGTTATTGTCTCTTAAACTTCATACCAGAATCTCATCATTTTGCTTCCATTATTTGTTTTATCGCAGCATTTTGCAGCATTTATACTTCAAAGCTTATTATGCATATTTGCAATCTTCTAATAATACTTCCATGCTTTAATTATTGCCATTCTTGCATTTTGCTAAATGAAATAATGAGTGAAAATTAAATAAATATTTACTTAATATAGTATCAAAGTAGCAATATTATATGATCAACAGATAACAAGAGTTAGAGATTGCATGAACTGTAAAAAAAAAAAATAAATTGATTACAACATTGAAAATTAACCATGGGATCGAAATATGAAATAAAATCAACTTTTGAATATCTCACAATAGTGTGAAGTTTTTTTTCCAAACTTCGAAACATTTCGTTTCATAGTGTAATATTTAAAAATTGATATGGCATAAAAAATCTTTACCTCAAACGAGAACAACGCATTACTGATTGAAGTTAAGAACTGATTCAATCACACATGAAAATTCAAAAAAAAAAACAATTGTTGACTGTGTCAGAATTTTTTGAAATCATTTTTTCTATTAATAAGAATTCATTTTTTTAATCGATAACTTGCCTTAAAGATCTCGTTGAATATTATGACAATATGAAACTAAAAAAAAAAAAAAAGAAAATTGTAAAGAATTATCTAATATATAAGAATTTATGTGACATCATGAAATGTGCTTACAAATTTTCTAAAAGCTCTAAGTGGTACTGATTTTTAAAAGAAGATAATGAACAAAATCAAAATAAAATTTACCATTTCATGATAAATTCAATCATACTCTCCAATTTTCGAAGGAAATTGTAGATGAGTTCAAAAACCTGAAGTAAATTGCTAATGAGGGGCTGTTCTGTTTGTCGAGAATCTTGAAATTCTTTCAATACACAAATATAATCTAATCTATAAAACATCAAAACTTTAACAATCTACTGGACACATTGAAAACAATATCTCTTCTGCTATCTTAAAAAAACTTGTAATTTTGATTCTGACTTATTCAGAAAGCATTTCTTTTTCAGGTCAACAATTACAGCTCCTTTTAAGCTCTTTTATTTGCCCTATAAAACCGTTCCTGTGAAAATTTAAAGTTTCTATAAAATTTAATACTATCCTAAGTTTATTCCGTTTCTCTAAAATACAAAAGACTGAAAACATGAAACAATGGGATAATTTGCTATAGAAATAAACCAAGTTGCAAAACACTTACATATTATTATGTTAATTTCTGTTATTTTCAGTCTTATTTAATATTACCATACATATTTTTATCAAACCAAAGCAATAACACGCAAACACACGCACGTGAAGCATTCACACGTACATATTATTAGTATCGCTTAAGGAGAATTTTTAAAAAACTATAGAGCTACAAAATACGACAGTTTTTGAAGCTGGCAATATGCCAATAAAGCATAGCACTTTTGGACTTTTGGGTAGAATTTGGACATGGATGGTTGTTTATGTGTGGGCAATGGTGATTTGATTAGCTGATAATTGATATGATAATTTCAGTGCTGTTTAGGTTGATTAGCTGATAATTGATATGATAATTTCAGTGCTGTTTAGGTTGATTAGCTGATAATTGATATGATAATTTCAGTGCTGTTTAGGTTGATTAGCTGATAATTGATATGATAATTTCAGTGCTGTTTAGGTTGATTAGCTGATAATTGATATGATAATTTCAGTGCTGTTTAGGTTGATTAGCTGATAATTGATATGATAATTTCGATGCTGTTTAGGTTGATTGGCTGATAATTGATATGATAAGTTCAGTGCTGTTTAGGTTGATTAGCTGATAATTGATATGATAATTTCAGTATTCCTTTAGGTTTGATTAGTTGGTAATTGATAGAGGTGCACTCATCGAGGACAACTGCTGAACATGGAAGCAGGAGGGTTTGTAATTTGCAGTACAGTTTTATTTTTTCCAGAAATTCAAAATTTAAAGCTGTATAAAAATTTTTTTTTAACTAATTTAAAACTCTATTAAAGTCATAAATTAACTTACTTGCTTTTCATGATAGATTTTGCAGAGATGAGACACAAGTGCAAGTCCCACCAGCCGAAACAACAGCAGCTGCAGCAGACGAGAAATTAGATGTTAAAACTGCACTGCGAAGAGCTCTGAAATCAGCAATCGTTATGGATGGAGTAGCAAAAGGTCTTCATGAAGCTGCTAAAGCTCTTGATAAGTATAATTTTGAAATAACTTTAAACTTTCGCATTAAATTTTTTCTGTTTGTTTTCCGTTTCAGTCACTAACTGTGAGCAGTAATGAATTGGAGTGGTGCTAAAACATAGACTGTTGAGTACCAATATAATTGAATATCACTGATTAAAAGCTTCAGGCGTCAGGCATATTTTTGTGTGTTGGCTGAGAATTGTGACGAGCCAATGTATGCAAAATTGGTGGAAGCATTATGCAGTGAACATCAGATACCTCTGATTAGAATTAAAGACAAAAAACAGCTGGGTGAATGGATTGGGCTATGCAAATACGATAAAGAGGGAAAAGCTCGAAAGGTTCAAATTTAACACGGATTTCTTAATCACTAAATAAAGTTGTATTGCTGTGGATTTCATCGTATTTCTTTTTCTATGGGTTTGCAAAGCTAAGTGCACAGTGAACGTATAGATAATTTATATTTTAGGTAGTGGGATGCTCGTGTGTAGTTGTTCGTGACTATGGCCAAGATGATGCCGCACGAGCATTTCTTCAGGAGTACTTTGATAGCCAAAAGAAGAGCTAATGACTATTGTTTGTTTATTGTTTGTATTGAAGGAATCTTTTTGTTGATTCAATAAACTATCTCTAAAAATGTGTTTGTTACGCATGCAAGAAGTCTTTTCGCTAATAATTTTATCGTAACAAAAAATAGAAGACTTATAACGTTCATGAAGAAAACTTCTCCAGTGTTTTGGATTGCAGCTAATGGTTTCTTACGTTTTCATAAATATAGGATGTGTGGTTGTTTTCGTATTCTGGATGCATCTGTTGTTGGTATTCACGGGGGCATTCCATGGAGATTGGTAATTTTTCTGGAATGATGAAGGTTTGAATGATTTGAAGCTACTGACAAAAAGTGTAGGCATGCGCGAATCTTTCTGGTTCTTAGCAAGTGGATGTTTTTTAGGGGAGTTGCGTACGATAAAAGTATCTGAAAAACTGTTATTTTGCAGAATGACTAAATCAGATGAGCCTTCATCTGTTACAATGGAAGAAGTTTCGTATGGAGCCGAGGAATATACCAATGATCCTTCATTCGAAATTGCTTGGGCTGTTAAGGTGTCATTTCTGTAGTGATTGTTTTACAAATAGCTGAATTCCCGGTGTTGTCATTTTATTATCATTTTTTTCCAATTTTTACTCCTAATAGTAGTACTTCGGTAATCTCTTGAATGTGATCCATTACAGGCTGCTGAAAGAGCGAATGTTCATATGAATTTGTTGCTAACTTGCAATACCGCAGAGTTAACGATGCATAAAAAATGCAGTATTATTTATGACAAATTTCGAGAGTTCTTTCCAGAGATGAATGTTGAGAAGGTAGTATCCTGATCTAATCACATGAATCAATAAAATGTTATGTCATACGGATTATCTTATTTCTAATGTTCTGTTGATGAATAAAGTATATGACCATTTTCAGGTAACAGAAATAGAATTAAAGGGTGAAAATAAGCAACGGTGGTTTACATTCTGCGAGTATTTTAAAGAAGAAGTAGAAGATTATAATCTTGCAACAATCATGAGGATAAGAGTCGATGGTGCTTACAGCGAATCAAATACAATTATTGTTCCTAAGGTAATCTGATTTCATTTACTACAGATCTTTTGCCATACAAAAGACATATGCGTGAAAGTCTAGCGTAAACGGTATGACATCATTGTTATTAATTAAAATCAGCAATAATTTACAAGGAATATGCTGCTGGTATTCTTATTCTTAAAGAAAAGCTAACAACGTAATTGTGGTTTTGTCAGTAGATGAGTAGCTTACGCTTAGTGCATGTCTATTTTTCTCAAACTCAATTTTGGCTTTGAAACTAATTTCTTATATTTTTAGATAATTTTCCTGGCTGTGGAGATCGCACGAAACAAAGAAGGTTTAAATGAAAGATGTAAGGAAAGTTTTAAAATGGAACATGAAAAAATCAGACGTGAAGGAGGGAATATTTGTTAGAGGTTGTTACATATTGCTCATCTTTAATGTTTAAATTGCTGCTCATTTACTTTACGAATTTGTAAATTTTCAAGACAGATTTCTCTTTTTGTTATAGTTGCGTTATAACTTTAAGTGTAATCTCTGAATAAATTTTTTTAGTTGGCATCTTAAATTTTTGTTTTAAATTGTATTTCGATTTACCAATTTCGGCTGATGTACGGTTGTATTTTTTAAGTTCTTCTTGATCGTATTCAATGTTGAGAAAGAAGAAACTGATGTTGTAAAAAAATGGAGCTAAATGAAGTAAAAATAAAATACATAAACTTTTTTTTCTGCTAGAATTGTTATTCGTTTTGTTCTAAGTTTGTTATTCGCTTTTTGTTATTTGTATTTGTTTTACTTGATTTGATTTAATTCTGAGACGATATGAATGTTTGTTTCTTACTGTGTTAGCAAATCTTCAAATATAAAAAAGATTCTTACATATTGTTGGTTGTTACTATTTTCTCTGTAAAATGCTTAAGAAGCAATATTGTAATTGGCTGCAGTCTATTTAGAAGGTTTCCTTGGATATTTTCATGCTAAGTTGTTGCATCCAACCTTGTATAACTTAAGTAAACATTACCTCGTATAGCAGTCTGATGATTTCTTTAAATTTGAGAAAGTTTGGATGGAAAAAGTGGCTATAATTGATAAGAGCCTATAGATAAACGATCCAAATGGATATTATTGAAAATTCAGATACTATATGATTCTTATTGCTTCAGAGTTATTTCTATTTATGTACAGAAGTTACTTCAATTATATTTCTTTCGGAGGTCACGAAATTTAACTTATCATTTAAGGGATATTATGTCCGGTTTCACTTTCGGCGCACAGGGAACTTCCACAACACCTGCTACAGGTGGTTTGTTTGGAGCTGCGCCCAAGCCATTGTTTGGTACTTCACCAGCCACCGTGCAAAGTGGAGGTATATATTTCGTAATCTGGCTATGCCTTAGTCAAGGATCTCGATTCAAATGGATTTACAGTCTGAAAAGTTCTCGCAAAACTTTCAAGTCCCTAAAATTTCAATCTTCATCTTTTCATTCATTTTTGTTTATCCGGTTATTTTTTCCAGGCGCTGGTCTTTTTGGATCATCTATATCTGCACCTGCAGCTTCCACAGCACCAGCAGGTGAGGTTTAAAAACATTTGGTTGTAGTTTAATCATTTTAAATCGGCGAAGTTGTCTTTGTTTATGTTGTTATTTTGCAGGATCAATTGGCTCAACAGTGCCATCTGGTGGATTATTTGGAACACCTGCAAAAACTACAACCGTTACAGGAAAGTTGTGCAAAACATTAAAATGATTAATTGAGATTTGTTTATTTACAGAACTGTTGTTTTTAGGTGGTTTAATAGGAACTGCTGGAGTAGCTACAACTTCATCGGTTTGCGGACCTTTTGGAAGTGCATCAGTCACTACAACACCAACTTTATTTGGTGGTGCACCTGCTACAACCGTTACTGGAAGTCTTTTTGGAAAGCCAACAACAGGTATGTATAATGTTAATTTGTGAGATTAAGTTTTGTACTTTATTCTAAATACTAAATTATGACTGGCTATGAAAGTGAAGTTTCCTTTTTATTGCTTTATAATTCAGGCTTATTCAGTAGTCCAGCACCTGTTACAACTGCTTTAACTGGTGGACTCTTTGGCACAAGTGGAACACCGACGACTACAACTGGAGTAGGATTGGGAGGAACGGGTACGCTTGCGGCTACCGGTTTCACATCCAGTAGTTTGGGTGTTGCCGGTGCTGCGGCGTCTGGAAATCCACTGGAAGCTGAAGTACAACAAGTGGTTATGGATCTCTTTAATTTGTTGCGGTATGGATCTCTTGAATTTGTTGCGATAAATTAATCATTATTTGATTTTGATGGTATTTACACTTATTATTGTGATATTTTAGGGATCAAATTAAGAAGAACCACGAATTAAGTGTTGAATTTGCGATGAATAGCTCAGAATCATGCTTGCATATGGATGAAAAAATAGAAGAATTGGTTGGGACACGTGTGAAGAACGTCGACATTGTACGTAGAGCAAAGGGCAGAGCGGAAGGTTACTTTTCATTTAATTTTTATTTTCATCTAATATCAATCTTTATGAGATTTTTATACGTTTATTTCTTGGCTGAAATCGTATTCAAGATTTAGATTTTACTAACAAATAGACGTAGTAAAAAAAAAAAAAAAACATCGCTGAATTGAGCTGATTGAATGACTTCATCTTTTTGTATTTGTTGGCTAATAATTCAGACATCAAGAAACCATTTATAATTGCTGACAAAACTTTAGAATTACTTGAGAAAATGCAACGAGATTTACGAGCAGCAGAGCAAGTACGTCGACGGCAGAAAGAAATTTCAAAAAATCCACATTTCGGCCGAAAACAAGCTTTCTCTTATTTATTAGCAGTTTGTATTGAACACGAAAATACCGTGCAAGAATTTTGGGAAACATTGCAAGTACTTCAGGAAAGAATAGATGCAAAATTAAATAAAGTTAGTTTTGCTTCAAAGCTACACTTTCTATGTACGTTTTTATCTAAATTTGGAACTATATTCCGAAATTTCAAAAAAAAAAATCTCTTTTGAAGGTTGTATATGAAATTTAAAAAATAAAGACAGGAAGTTATCTCCGTCATTTAATTTTAGTTAGTAGTTTTATATTCTAATTTAGTTAATGAAGTTTTCTTATTCCAGTATGATCCTATAAATTTATTCCTTAAAAAAAAATATACTAAAATGGGGTTAAAAATATTCTTTATAATAAAAGTATTTTTGAAAAATGGTTCTCAGTATAAATTTTTTTTAGAATTCATTTTTGCAGATTTATTTCTGTTCTTAGAAACATTGAAATTTCTTTAGAAGGACATAACCACAAAGCAGGACCTACAGAAACATTTCGAACATTACGACCAAACATTCAAACTTATCTGTTCTGACGTATATCGGTGTAAAATGCAAATCGAAGTATGTTTTTATTTCAGTTACATCTTTTATTATTATATCATTCGTCATTGAATATTTTTTTGATATTTATTATTGGCAGTTTTTTGCCTCGAAATTTGTTTGTTCATTTTTTAAGCATTATTTACACATTTATTTGCGTACGTTCATTTTTTAAATATTATTTGCACATTTCTGTAGGACCTGAAAGATGCATTTTTGGAGTATCAAAAGCGTAATGTTCCATATGCACCGAATCCATTTGAACGACGGAAATCAAAGCATACTGAAAAACCAATTGGAGAAAAGAGATTCACAGGTGAAAGATTTTTTAACTTCAGTTTCGTATCTTGAAAATCTAAGACATTAGAAGACTACATAAGTTCTCTTAGAGGAAATCGATACAGTACTGCACTAGGTTTTGTTCTTATGCTTTTCATTTTGTCATTCCGGAATATTTTAATTTTAGCACAAATGATTATTTTGTGAGAAAAGTTTCCATTAATTATATATGATGAATTTAACTGTTTGAAGGCGCAGATGCATTCCCTTCACAAATTACAATGATGAAAATTGGTGAAATGGCAAAACCTTCTTCAACAACTCAACAAACGAGTAAATTGATTTTTCTTTATGTGCTTTACGATTTTTTTTTTAATCATAATTCAGATTCCAAATTTCATATCAAATACTTGCAAATTGAAATTTTGATGTTATAGCAGCAGCAGTAAGCGGATTTGGCACGCCCGGTTCATTGTTTGGCTCGAAAACTTTCGGTAGTCCTGCCTTCTCTTTTAATCCATCAGTGACAAATACAACTACACCGTTATTCAAACCTTTCTCCAGTACTAATTCAGCACCAGCTCCACTTTTCGGTATGAAATTTTTATTGTTCGGCTGTTTGTCGATCGTAATTTGTATAAAATTAGCCAGGAATAATTGTATCAAAGGGTCATTTTCCGGCACTTATATCTTTTTTTAAATTCGAAATATTAAGAAAAAAAGAGAATCAAGAAAAAAGCTTGGTGAGCGCAGACGTAACCAGCGAAAGCGCCAAACGTTCTCAGCAGTGATCTAATAGTAAATTTATTGTTTCTTTATTCTTTACTCATCCTGTTTTTTTGTGCATTTTTTTCCCCCACAGTCTTATTCATTCTTCTTCATTCGATTGATTTGTGTCTAAAAATTTTTTTGTCTTTTCATGTCTGAGAAATTTCCATTAGCACTGGCCTTTTCTTGAAAGCTAAGATAATGTTGACATTGTCAAATGGTAATGTATATTTTCATATTTTTCAGGTACCTTAGCGACATCAATAGCGGAGCCAGCACCTGCACCAGCAACAACAACATCTTTTACTTTTGGAAATACATTGAACTCATCAGTTAGTGGCACATTATTTGGTGGAAGCGCTAGTAAACCCTTCGGTCGATAATCAAGTGATAATTGAAAACATCAATTTGAGAAAACTTGCATAATTGCCATAAGAACAAAATGAAAGTTACGGTGATTCCCAACAATTTAAAACATTTTCAAATTCCAATAAGCTGAACATTACTATTCCATCGTTAGTGTTCCTAACACCACTTTGTAATTAGGTAGTCCTGCTGATCCTAATTGACATATTAGGAATCATTTTTGAAATCATAGTCTTTCGTGAAGCTGGTTTTGTTATATTAGTTAATGAGACAAATGAGCTAAGACGAATGAGTTTGAAATGAAATTAATCTACTCGAAGATATTGTTGCAGTTGTTTTACGGTCCACTCGTTTGTTAAATAATCAGAATTATTTCCATTTTCATATTCTTTAGGAATTTAGTGAAGGAATTTAGGTATCTTTATTTTTCTGCTTATTTATCTGAACAAATATAAAGACATTTCTTTATATGGATTTTTATTCCTCATAAACAATTGATTAATTCGATTTGTTTTATTATTTCTTTTTGAAATGATTGCGCTTATTTTTTGTTATTAGGTAAAAAATGAATATTAACTTGTTAAAAAAAAAAATAAAATAAAATTGAAGCTAATATATAAATGGGATATTGCATGATTTCATGAAATGACAGAAAAAAACAAACAACTAATTTTAAAAAAAATCTGTAACATTCTGTTCGGAAATTTTTATGAAATTCAATTTTTCGATGTTTTACAATAACATTAGGTAAATATGTTTGGACTTTGCTTATCTTCAAATTAAAACAATTTATTTCATATGTTTTTTTTTTTTTTTTTGAATCCCTAAAAATTGTACTCAATTATTATCATTGTGCGATAAATAATATTTTTTATGTCAGAATTTGTAAAAATGGTTCACTGCCCAATTTTATTATTTTTTTTTTTTTTTTTAAACTCATTTTACTAATATAACAATGGTCTTTGATAAATCACAAGAGATTTTTCAAAAAATTTGTAACATTTTAATCTTAGTATTTAGGCTTATATTTCATGGAAAACTAAAAAGCACTGATTTTATGTATCAACGAAGCATTAAGGAATGAGTAACAATAAGTAATAAACTGAATCGGTGGAAACGAATTATCGTTCCTGAAAAAAAATGAAAAGTGAGCAGTAAACAATGAGAATTAAAATAATCTGAACTTAGGAGATTGAAGTATGACAATATTAAAATGTATTAAAAAGAAAAAAAAAATATGGAGCAAATACTATTGTAAAAAAGTAATTTACAATAGATTCCTTGATATTTAAGTGATCAAAGAACAAATTATTTAAATTTATATCTTAAAAAATAATAATAGAAAGGTAAGAAATACCTTTAAATATTGAATATCTCAAAAATTTTCAATTTCTTTATCATATCCATAATAATTTTTTAGCCATTTCCATAGTTGTATATGCTCTTTTGGTGAATAAATTAATACAAATAATACATTTGATGTTTTGATGACTTCTTCTAATTGATTCCATTTAAAAAGAATTTTTTGATTCCATTCCTCGTAATATGCATGTACACGTAATCCAAGATGTCCGGTAACGTGAACATCTTCTATCTAAAATTCATTGCTTCCAGAACAATTTATTTCCACTCTTTGCATTTTCCGATAAGTGCTGAAAAAATTATATATTCAAAAGTCATCTACACATAGCTATTTCATTAGCTAATGGTAGAATATTTGATAATTTAAAATTAACATAAAGCAAACCCAGAATAATGTGCAGAAACGAGCCTGCTCAAATAATAGCCTAGCAAGATATCCTGTAAGTAAGTAAAATGATCCACTACAATGTCGTGGATAATATTGCATTGGATATTCCTTATATGATACAGGCCTAAAACAATTACAAATTTAAAAATTATCATATCATTAAGATAATATAGAAAAAAAAAAATGGAATAAAACGAAAAATTCTCTAATAAAATCAAAAAATGCAAACATTTCGGAATAATCCTGTAAACATTTCCATTCGAACAATGAAATTAAAACAAATAAATGGAAATAATAATGAAAAATTATAAGCAAACAATTATTTCTAATTTAATTTATACTAACCATTTAGTATCATATCTGTTTACTCGACCATAATTTCTTACATAGCAAAAAAATGTTTTTGATGTAAAAGAATGATTGGTGTTAATTTCTGTTGTTCGATTTTCAAGTATTTCCACAAGTTTGAAATAATTGAACGTAAGATCCGAATCAATTTTTAAAATATATTTAACATTTGAACAAAAATCATTAATAAATTGAAGGCACATTAATGTCTGTAAAGAGAAAATTGAGTATAACTGTAATAAACAATATAATTGTAGGAAAAAAAAAATTGTTATAATTAAAATTTAAATTCTTGATACTGATTTTTAACAAAAAAAAAAAAATTGTTACAAATCTTTGATACTGAAATTAAAATTATATTTCTTTCATTTTTGCTAAAGTAATGTTTAATATTTAATAAGACATTATATTAGTATAATCTCTAATCAACCAATAATTGATGATAGAATTTATATGATAGAATAACATTTAATTTAATCTTAAATAAAAATTGATAGAATAACATTTAAATGTAATTTTAAATAAAAGTTCTAAAAATACAAAACTTGATAGTAAGATTTTTATAAGTATCAAAAAATTCTTGTTGTATAATATCGCCATATTTTTGTTGCTCATTCTGGATTAAATTCATCATATCGAGATCATCAGTAATGCCAAGTGGGAATAATACTACAGTTTTGAACTAAAATAATAATTTCTTTTTTTTTTAAATAACATTATTAATAAAAAAAGTGTAATCAGATCATTTAAGATTTTCTTAATCAGTTTTTTTTTTTTAGAAATAATCTTAGTTCTCTGTATTGGACATATGATTATTTAGTACATATGAATGTTTCTACGACATTTTTTTTTTTATTAATTTCATATTTCAACGTAAAAGTTTTATCACACGTGAAAGTTTAATCATGTTAACTAAGTCGTTTTCTTCACGTCAAATAGTAATGACGTGATTGAACGTCGTTTTTTTTTCATTTATATATTTTACTTATTTACACGGAAGCTGAACAAAAGCTAATTAAGCACATCCTTTCCTAATTTAAATTAATGAAAATATTAAGACATCTTCATATAGTCGAATATTGCCCCATGTTTTTCGAATTAAATTTCGATGTTCTCGTTGTTCCACTGCTGTGATTGCAAAAATAAGAAGCAATAAGTTAGGATATTTCTGTGAACAAAAATTCTTATCAATTATTTTCCATTGATAAGCATATCGATTATAAAGTTCCTGTAAAAAAAAGGAAAAAAAAAGTTATTGTAATTTTTATAATTATAATTGCTTAACGTTGAATACAATGATTTTAAACATAATTTTAGTTTTTAATAAATTCTAAAATTTAACATTTATCCTCAAATTACTATAACAAAATTTTTGAATAAGGAAAAAAAAACAAAACAAAAATATATCACCATATTATTGGAACAATTGAATGTATTAATTGCTTCAGTACTTGTCTTGAGTTTACCATTCTCGAATGTTTCAGCAGATAATAACTTTGACGAAATTGTAACCATTCCAAATTTAATTTTCACACTACTTTCTGATGTATTGTCACCATCCTTCCATTGTAATTTTTGATGAATTATTGAAGTTTTTAGTGGTATTAATTTATAAAATATAAAGTTAATTGTTAGCAGAACTATGATAGATAAAAATAATGATAGTATCACAGATTTCATACTATTTATGATATATGTGTTAATTTTCATTAGAATTGATAATTTCTGTTTGAGGCGTTTTTGTATCAATGAAGAAAAAAAAACAAAAAAAAACGCCAAAGAATGAATAAGCAGTAATAAGCAATAAATTGAATAATCAATGAAAACGATTAATCATGTCTGAAACGAAGAATAAAGGATTATCAAAAGATAACCATTGCTTGCATCATATTTTGTAAAATTTTAAGTATGATAAAAATATAAAATGACAATTGATTGTCCCAACAATTCTAAATATTTCTCATACGTTGCAATCAATTTGTTAGCTTTCATGTGAAAATGAAATAACTATTAATTTTTATGATGAAAAAAAAAATGGAAATAACAATTAACAAAAGAATTATCTCAGTTAAATCATAACATTTCAGATGATTAAAAATTGAAATTATCATTTTATTTGAGAGCAATTTACAAATAAATGTTTGTTGTTGATAACTGGAAGCTCTGAAAAAGTGGTTTTTATTTCACTTTTGAAAAAGTTTTTATTGTTTCCCAGCTAAAAATTCACAGCATACGCTAATAATATATACAATGGGAAACATTGTTATGTCTGCAAAATAACGGAAAATTTTCATAACAAAATCATTCAATTTTATAATTCAGCATTTTTTATATTACAACTTAAATACAAAATAGAATTGATATGCCATAATTTAAAATTTTATGCCAATAATTGCTTAAAGTTTAGATTTTACAATTTGATCGCATATTGAATTGAAATAACTTAAAACTGTACCTACCGATCAACTTGCTATCTCCTGCATTAATGATCATATCAATGCTACCGGATGTGTTATCAGTTCAGTTTATGTCAGAGTTATTTTCTCATCTTATTTCATAAACGTTCACATACGAGCTGCTAATAGCTATTTCTCTCTAATGTTGCTATCTCCACCTAATCATTTTGCTTTTATGATTGTTACGCTTATCAGAGAGATAGGTCTTATCAGTTAAACGATTAGGCAACGAATAAAAAATCTTTTGTTTTACTGTAGGTCATTGTTATAACCTTGCTAAGATCAAATCCTTTAAAGTCTGTGTCAGTTCTTACAACTACCTCAAGATATTATATCTGTCATCTTGTACTACCTCGAGATAAAATATATATTTAATCTTCAGTTTATTTCTTTAGAAAGCTTTTCAAGGCTAAAATGACAAGTGGCTTATTGGTGATAGATCATTGCAAAAGGATAAAACAAGCGAATCACTGCTGCGATTCATTTGAGAAGCCGAGAACAATTCAAATTCAGTTTTACGAGTTCATAAGTCAACATTGATTATGAATTAATAAAAATAAAAAGAGATGTGGCAAGTGGAAGAGATCAACAAACAAATTTATTTTTTGTTTAGTGTGTGACACATGATTGGTTGAATAATGCAACAAAGCTGCTTAATGATAAGAGATGTTAATATGACATGAATGATAGGAAGAATGAATAAAACTTATCACAGTGAAAATTCTCATTAACAATTCTCATTGAAATGTCGGTAATAAGTCACATTTAAGTTATAAAACTTTTCAGATGTAGATTTTAAGTGTATTTTTAACTTCAATGTATTTTTTATCCGTCAAGGAAGGATCTACAGTTTGTTAAAACGAGATTCTCTCCGTTCGATGTGAACAGGTATGATAATATGCAGATTGAACTGTTTTTTATTTTTCATTTTAATATTTCGCTGAGTGAATTTTTCAAAGTCTTTTTGGATAGACTGTAAATATCTCAAAAAAGCATAGGAAAATGATTCAATAACCAATTTGTATGAAAGTTTTTTGCATTATCGGTGACATTGAAGAAACAGAGAGTACATTGGAATGTTTAAAACTAATTATTTTCACTTATCTATTCTTTATCAACAAATTGCCATAACCTAAAGCAAATTCAAATTCAAAACAGCATTGTCGGATAATATCGGATTGCAAATCTTTCAGAGAATTTAGTAAAAGCAGCACTTATCGTAAGAATATTTCCTGAAAACTGATATTAACATAGCAAAAGAAATTAAAGTTAATGTATCAAAACTAAATGAAATGTTTAGAGTTGAATAGATTGGTTCTCGAGAAATCGTCAATACTGAGGATGATTAACAAATCATTCAATGAAACAACAGATAAAAATGATGAAATGACTTGTTAAAAGGTCAAAGGTAGATTATTGCTGCTAAAGAAATTTTTATTATAAAACCAACACAGCAGATTTCCCCTATTGGACATTCATTTTTCCTTATTGTATATTCATTTTCTTAGTTTTTTTTTTTCTTTTTTTTTTAAAAAAATAACATCATCATCTATTTTTAGCTTAAAATTGTGGGATGTTATAAAAAAATCAAAAAAGTTATTATCGAGTAACGTTACAGAATAACGACAACTTAAATCTGTCGAGTTGTCACATTCTGTAACATGTTAAAAATTAATTTCAATTTTATTGTTGCAAGATTTTCCAATCTGATAGTTGAGCTTATATTCAATTGTTAGCTTTTTGTTTAATTCACTTTTTTTTTTTTTTTGTTATAAACCATTCATACTTACAATGTTGAAATATTATAGTATTATCTGATGTTACTCTTATGATTTTTTTTTACAAAACAACAACGATATTTAGTAAGAAACTTTCAATTTCTTCCGATATTGAAAAAAAAAATTTTTTTTTTAATATTAAAAGAAAAAAATTTTTCCACTACATAAAGCATAAAGATCATCCGAGAATGACAAATCTTTACTTACTATAATTATGCTTTTTGTTGTGAGTCAATACTAAGTAAGAAGTTCAAAGCATTAAAATTTTAAACTTCGATTCCAATTGCTGGTCATAGCACTAATTGCTCAATTAATTCAGAACCATCAATTTGACTGTTAGTATAATTTAATATTTCCTTTGTTCATTTATTATCGTATATGCTCGTAAAAGAATAAAGCTATTGTCAACATTATGAATTTATGACAATGACAACAACAATGACATCTAGTTAAGAAAGTTTTCAATTTCTTTCGATATTGAAATCTTAATTTTGTTGATGCAAACTGCTGAAATCAACAGATTAAAACTTTCTCATAACTGTAGATTCTCTCTTTCATCTCTTCGTTCTATTGGTTTTGCTTCATATTGCACAACCTGTTTCCACCCTTTTCCATACAATCTCTAATAACTTACGTGAATTAATAAAATAATCAATAGTTTCACGTACTACACTTTTTCTTATACTTAAGTTGCATAACTTGCAAATACGATTTTATTGTTTGAAAATTCGACTGGAAATTCTTTTGAAACATAACAAACCTTTAAACGGAAGCATACCATTCCCAAAGTTCGTGGTACGAATAGTTCAAGCAGTTGATCTTCTTGGATGAGTGCTTCGAAGTTCTTTGCCAGGTCAATCATCTGTCATTTAGGATGATTGTTATAAAATTATTAACAACTGAAAGGAAGGAAGAAATTGACCTTCAGAAGGATAAATGAATCATACAGAAGTGAAAATTTTAAGTGAAACCTTTCTTAAATGCTTCTGCAATCCAGAAATGCCAAAATTTCGTAGCACAAACCATACTTTCAACGATCGAAATCTTCTTCCAAGAGCTATTTGAAAATGCTAAAATTATAATCTAAAAAGCATCGTTGGATTTAATCTGTTTTTCTTTACAATACTTCCTTTAAATACAGTCAATGCACTGTTGAATCTTTAAAGGACATTTAAAACTGAATTTTAAATTTAACTCTTCCAAGCAATTACTATCAGTTAGAATATGTAAAAGAATATATAAAAGCTTAGTTGTGTTCCGTGATAAAATCTTAATAAAAGTGGCAGTAAAACACAATAGCTAAGAGCTTTTAATAGATAATAAGTAAATTGTGATTTTGGCTAAAACATATAATAAAAAAATATTATTTGTAAAGCTATTCTTATTCTTTTCTTTTTTCAAATTACAAATAAAAAGACACTTAATCTGAAATCTCAAACATTACTCTTTTATATTTCTTATTATCGTAAACTGTATGATTGAAAAGAGAAATTACTCGATAATCAGTTGCACAAGTTTGATTATATTTTAAATAGATCGGATATTTTTCATATTGACATGAATGTAGCAATCAAAACAATTAACTTTGGTTTCTTTATTTGCATATCGTTCTATCATTATAGCTTCGTTCAAGCTGAACTTATATTTATCATTTAAACTAATAAAACTTTTCAGATGTGGATTTTAAGTGCATTTTTTATTTAAATGTATTTTTTATCCGTCAAGGAAGGATCTACAATTTATCAAAACGAAACTGTTCTCTGTTCGATGTGAACAGGTATGATAATATGCAGATTGAACTGTTTGATGAAACGAATCTTGGAATGTTGCAGTCAAAAACATAATAACATTCATGTTCGAAGGTCTGTTATTCATCTTTTTTTTTTTCAATTTAAAGTGAAAATTTAAATATCGTTAGTATGATGCTTATTAGAATCATTTCTGCATTTCTCATTTCTTTTCATTCACATTAATAAATGCATCCAGTAATTTTCAATTCTAATTATATTATTTAGCATAAGATATGCAATAAGTAAATATAAGATAATGGTTCTTAATTCTCGAGCATGACGTAGTTGCAGTAATGAAAAACACGTGGTAGATGTGGTCGTTGGTGGCGGTGGAATTGCTGGTACTTCGATTGCATATCATTTGGCGAAACGTGGCAAGGTGGTTGCCTTGCTTGAGCGAAATCGGTAACATTTGTAATGTTCCAAAGCAGTTTTTTTTTTTTTTTTTTCATTCAGCTACTTTCTAAAAAAGAAAACAAATTTTTTAAAAA